TACACTGTTTTAATGGCGCTTGAATTAGTGGACTGTAACCGTAAATGCCCTGTAAGTACTGTTCAAACCTCACATATTAATTGTGTGGTTCGCCTGTTCGTTTTTGGCTTTTATGGTTGTGCACTGGTCTTAAAAACAGCTGCATGGCCCCATCCAGCGAGGACTCAGAACACTAATCCAGCCCACTTAAATTGGTAATTTTGAGGACTCGAGAAAGTTTAGGCTGACACTCGTTCGCGCGCTGCTTCACGTTACAATTGAAGAACGCGCACCGGAAAGTGGCGCGGACCCTATGGGCACTTGGAATTTTCGCTTATAACGTTTGTGTATGGAGCAATAATTTATCTCCAATCTCACAAAAGGTGAAATTTAATCAAACTCCAAATGTTTTGATTCCTAAATGTCGATTTCATGTACCCGCTACATAGTTCCAATGACATATTAATTTGGTCCGATTTTTTTCCGAAGTGCAAAATGAAATGCGCTCCAAAATATATTTTTATAAAACCATTTTTAGTTAGGTAAGTGGAGGTAATAATGATTTACTAGAATGTATCACTTTTTTTGAACTTCTGAATTTTTTTGTGGGATTTTCTGAGATTTCTTTAATAATATTGTTCATATCATTCGCTCGCTGTCACCCAGCGCCCGATTCAAAGTGCTGGGTGAAAAGCAAATTCATTACCACTACCAGGCTAATGTAGGCCTACAATACGCCGTGAACTTGAAAACTGACGTAGGGTTCCTATACAAGTCTTACATGCATCCCTCGGTTCGCGACAAACGTGACATGTTGCGTTCCAAGGCACATTATGATAGGCCTTTGTATAAACATATGTATTCACAATGCCAAAAGTTCCACCTTTGGGTTTGACGAACCCCCCCCCGTCCCTGGTCAGGCAACGGGCCTGTGACATCAGTACAGAGGTGTATTGCCCATGATGGCTTTCTCAACGACATTTACACCCACTGAAAAAAAAACCAAACAATTAACACATCCCTTTTGTCCTTGTACGATCTGAACCACCATGCAGAAAAATCCTGGAGTGCCAAGCGTAACGAATCGAGATTTTCTCCAGGCTGAGTGAGTCTGAGAGACGTCAGATCTCCTGACTCCTCATTCTCACCGTCATCTTCGATCAACTCGTCGAGAAGACCTATGGCATACAGGTGCTGTGGGGTGAAAGCAGAAATTGCTACGACGTCACCGATGGCTTCACCGAACGCTGGGCAAGGTGGTAGGCGGAACACGATGGGTAGTTCGCGGAACTGATTGAAGTACTGAACGTGACCCAACTCGTGGTGGACCGTCAAGAAATCGTCCATGTTCACATCAGCGCACATACTTATCCTGAGCGTAAAAAGAGACACGAAGTGCAATAAACATAGCGTCTGATCGAACGTTAAATAGCCATATTCTCCATCTACGCATGACACCAAAGTAATGAGAGATGGCTATTAATTTTGTGAACAACTATTCTTAACAAGTAATAGTGTCTCTCGGTGGAAATGCAGGCAAGGTCTTTACAAAATCGGGTACTAACTTCATTTGGAGCAACTCTATAAGTTGGGTCTGAAGATAGCAACTCGTCACTGAAAATACGAACAAAATATGACGTGCTCAAGTCATCTATTTCATTATTTGGACACTATTTTTTCATGACGTCTTCCAGCTGAACTCTTACCGAAAATCCTTTTGATCATAGAAATCCCAAGCCATCCCATGGCATATCACAGGCCTACCGTCCTTCGGTCTAGTGAGACGAGACTTGTTATAGAACACATCGGGTACCGGGAAAAGGCCCATTGAAGTGTAAAACTCGTCGGCAACCTCAACCATGCGACGAACAGTGTACCCCTGCGAGAAACAGACATAGGTCCTTCAATATTGGCTTACTAAAACACCACAGAGTACCATGGTAAGACCCATTTTCACACGGCCAAACGAAATCCTAAGCAATTGAACGAGTATCACTCTTAAGTTTGATTTATTCAAGTACATTTCACTGGAATTCGTCTCGTCCCTCGTTTTACCTAATGGGAGTGAAGTTTCTGTCTCTTGAATTTAATATATTATAGATGCAAACACGAACTTTTAAAAACCGGACATGCTCAAGTCAATGTATGGGTAATGGCGCCTTCAAATTCAACTCTTCGAAGAGTTCAGTTTGGAGACGCCAAATCAGAAAGGGCAAGGCCTTTGGGTCGGTGTCCTTGTGACCCCGTCCCGAGGTCAAGAATCTTCAAACCGCTGAGCACACCATGGGACATGCATGAACAGTAAAGACGAAAGTTTTAGAGTCGCTGGAAATAACTTTCCATTTAATCTAATAAACAGTCAACAATTCTCCAACTGTCGAGGTTTTCAAGACTGATAGTGTGGACATTTTCTGATTTACATATTTATTTTCGTTGGTGGTGTTTTCCGAGTGGTAGAGCTCAGCAGTGGGTGTGTTTGGGTGAGTGGACAGGGAGATACAGTAGAAGGCGGCAAACAGCGGTCAAGGTCTGTGCCTTATCGTGACCTTCCAAGTTAAAACTATTTCAGGACATAAACAGATGTTTTGGTGCTGACCGAGACTTTGACCAAAGCCATCGAGTCCACACCGCTAGACCATGAGGCCTTCAAATACTTGTACAATTTGTGCCCTTGTATGCTCCTGCAGAATGGCGAATTCTAGCGGGAGTAATGCCCTGACTGGCTCTAGACCCATAGGAACTGGGAACGTAGAATTCTGGTGATATGCATGCATAACTATGAACTGACGGCAGTACGATTAATGGGGGGGTGCTTATATGGCTGATTACCTTGGCAACAAGAATGGAAGTAATGTCGATGGCCTGCTTCTCTGGGTATGGCTTGGCAATGTTGAGGAGGTTTGCCCATTCACTTGCCCACATATGCCCTGCATTTATTTGTGAAAATTGAAAATTACGCCATTTTTCACAGGTTGCTGAAAAATGACCGCAGCAGCTACAAAGCAGTGACTCTCGCAGACCTTAATCAGGATGCTGCCATTTTGTCGATCCATTGGCAACACATACTGATAAAAGGAAACAGACTATATGTTTTCCGTCCAGCCTCAGCCAGTGCTTTGAATGCCACAAAAGCAAGATGGCTGTCCCATGACAGAGGTCCATAAGCGCATGACTCGATCATTTTAAATGGGCCTTATTTAACCGGTTGCAACTTCTCAAGCGACCTCCATGCGACGGTTGCTTCATCACTGACAAAGTTCAAAATGTGATTTTTTTGTAAACAATGCCGTATCCTCCCTTGACTCTTGATTGGAATAATAAAAAGCAGGCAGGGGGAACTATTGGAATTTGGCTAGGTTTAGGTCTTCATTTCTTGAAAATGCATGTTTGTGAGCACTTGATGACGACAACAGACAGAGTTGTAGCCCTTGAAGCCCGTTTCTCAAGGGCTTCTAATCCGTTGAAGAATTAACATGTGAAATACTACCTTCCTTACCAGGGGAGGTGGGGGAGGGGACTCAGCCTCCAAGAGGTTGCCATTTGATTTTTATTGTATTTTCTATTTTTTCTGCCCTTTTGAATAACCCCCTGAAGATATCTTAAGTGTTAAACTACTAGCTTAGACATCCGAACCCCTGGGGGGGGTTAGCAGGAACATAATGAGCTATTTTGAGGGTCAATGTCGGTCCTGACCCCCACCCTCATAACAAATCTCGGAAACACCATGGAATAAATGCATGGCATAAGCTACAGTATGGAAGTATTCTCGTGAAGATATTCCTGTGGTTTTGCTTTCGGTTTAACAGTCCATACACAACACTTATAACCCCACAGTCCGGTTCCGAGACCAAAACATCCCGACTACTGTTAGAGATCTATAGGTCTGGAAGCCACTCATCATCGGAAGTGTCTGAAATTTGACGAACCCATTTCGTTGATTGTCGGGTAGTGACGTCAATATTCGCAAATATTGGGCCAATAGAAAGTTGGCAGATTCCCTAAAATGCATTATAATGTAAAAGGTTCCTCACTTAGTATTAATTTGCTAAATATTATTTATTTTGTATTATTTTGTATACCGATCTCTACTTTTTGGGCAATGATGCTGTTTAAAAACTAATGTGCCACACTTCAAAAAAGAAGGGGGCGTCGTCGAATACGTCATACGGTCGACAGCTACTTGCCGTCAATATCATTGATGCGGCAGAGAACCAGCTAACAATCATAGTTACCAAGTAAATGTGCCGGTATTGGTCCCCGAAGATTAATGAAATCTGGGCCGTAGACGTCGTACAGTTTCCTGCGTATGTAGGCGTGTAGGTTAGCGTAAAGAGGGCGGAGTTGCTTGTAGATGTTGTCAACTTGCTCCTCTAGGTTATCAACCTCGTACCAAGACCGCCACATTGCTCCCTTGTCCGGTTGATCTAATATGTAGAATATATTGTGAATTTATGTCAAAGAATTTTTCACATATGCGATTGTTGGAAAACATGCATCTTACTGATGACCTTGTGACGTGGTCCCGTCTTCATCTGGAAAACAACTTGACCTGGTCAGTCCACTCAGTTATCCGGCTTTGCTCTTTACTGATTGATAAACGTTATACAAGCAGCAGATGGGGGCTTTATGAAATGACTACAAGTCCGGCGACCAGTAAGTTCTTGGGAACTCACCATTATCATTTGCAGCCAAATTGCTGAGCGCCACGTATCTGGCAAAGTTGGGTCGAGTGCTCGGCCCGTTCGCGTCTCGCCAGCTTTTCCAGAGGTGCAGAAGCTCCGTGTAATCCCTGCTCGAAGCCATCAAATTTTCGGCATCTGTTAAAATGATATCGAAGCAATGAGAAATTCATTGCTTGGGTGAGTGAGCCAGTGGAAACCGTAAATACTGCACCATTTGTTTTCGGAGGGAACGTCTGGTTTACGGAAAACGTTTCAGGTAAAGCAATCAAAATAAGACGCAGATTATGATGTTGACTTTAATCCCGATGATTTGTACACAATAGGAAGACTATGTAAGACTTTACGATCACTAACTACAGGATTACAACAGTGGAGATGCAACAAAAATTGAATGAGATAGAAGTAAAAAATTCTGGTAAAGTTGCTTTCGACACACATTTAGCTTTAGCCTTTTGAAAAATTGACAGTTCTCTTTTTTCTGTAACAGAACTCTGGCTATATATTAAAATTGTTACCTGGTGTAAAAGGCATGCAAGAACCTGCAGTACTTCTTGGTCCGTTACATGCCTTGGCGTTGGAATACCTCGTTTTCATCTGAACTTTGAGATCCTTCAACTTTAATCAGAATCATGAAACAATCAAAATTTAAAGCAGGTACACAACGTGGCAAAGATACTTTTCACAACCGGTACCGCTATTCCATTTTACAGGGCGAACAATGCCTGCGGTACTGGAGGAGAAGGCATGTAGGCTATAGTCCTTCAGTTGGATTTTTCTTCTCCCGGCATCTACTGCAGGCATTGTTTTGTCCTTGTCTAGTGAGTGGTATTGTTATTATTCTTGATGCCAAATAAATAATAATAACAATAACAGTTCACTTCAAAATCACTAGCAATAGTCCCAGGAACGTGACACTGCAAAAACTGGGGTGTTAAATGTAACACCCGCGGTGTTATCAGAAGACTACACCAACACTTTTCACTGGTGTTAAAATTTTGGTCTCATTTGGTCTTACTTGTAACACCTTCTAGTGCACTGTAATACTTATAGGTGTGCAAAGTAACATCATCGTTGTTAAAGTAACACCCTATGGTACGGTCATCTGATAACACCCAAAAGTGTTGATTTTAACACCCGAGTTTTTACAGTGTACATTTGCTTTTGAAACAAGCAATCAGCACCATTTTTATTTATTCAAAGTTATCAGATTTTTTTGTTACATTTGAAAATGTATGTAAAAGATCCCTATTTTTGCAGCATTTGCTAATTTCAAATGCAAAAAGAGGTATTTACATATTAAAAGCAGATCGTGGCTTTAATAGTAAAGAGGCCTTGTTTGTTTATGCATTGCCTTTCGTTTCTGAGTCGCCAAGCAGATCCATTTATAATGGCAATACCTCTTGTAACTTGTCTTTATTCTGAAATGCGTTCTCTCCAACATTGACGATGATCTTCAAGAGCTGTCGCGTGATATTTGCGGGGAAGTTGGTGGTGTTAAACCTGGACGCGTTGATTCTGCCCTGCTTGCTGAATTCAGAGTACTGCAGACGGGCCTCCACCTGTTGGACATTAGGTGAAGCTTGACTATGGTTCTAGAACGTGTCCCACTGACAGCAATGTTTGATGTGGCAACAATGATAACCCAAAACAAAGCTACGAGCATGAAACTGATAGTATTGATCGTAGTCTTTTGTTACAAAATAATTAATAGTCCTAACCCAGACGAATACAATGTAGATAGGCATCCAGTCGAAAACGTCCTAGAAGTCTCGCTCCAGATTTTAAACATCAACGAACATGGCAATGCGCTAATTTGAATGTGTGACAACTAAGACCCATAAGGCCCAACAAGTACATGATGTAGTTAAGGAACGGTAGAATGTTGTTGGTGACATTTCGACCAAAGGCATGCATATTTTTCTGAAAAGATTGGCCTACAACTTATAAGAATTCATTGTGGGGTGCATCTGTCCACCCCATGATGCACTGTCCCCTATGACGTCGCCACAAGCAGTCAACGAACACGTGAATTTTTGATTAACTTTGAACCGCCGTGACCTAACAAGGGGGCGAACTACACAAACATGCACCGAGCTTGTTTTTTTGTCACCCGGACCTGACCTTAGCTTTCGTAAACCCTCCCCTGCCCGTCTCTCATTCGGCATGTTAAACCATTTCGTTCCACTTGTCGTCACTCTCTCGGGGGGCTCGCGTCGTCGATGATTAATGCTACGGGCAACCTCAACTTCTTTCATGGGAGCCAGAAATTTGACGTTAACAAAGGTTTTGCAACACCGCCGCAGGCATTTATGGCGACGAAAGATTACGAATGCATTCTTAAGGGAGGGGCATCATTAAAACCATAACCCTGGTGAAAAAAAACAATAATACTGAGTTGGAATCGATCCCAGTGTTTTCACAGACCTAAAAGGGTTTCATGAAGATGCTTAAAGTAAGGCAAACGTTGAAAGCCACATTACAGGGGAAAGTAAAGGGGTGCAAGGTATAAAATCTCGGCTGTGTCCAAAGAAATCTTACCATCTCCTGTCGTGTAAACTCTGTCATGTTGTAGTTGTAATTCCAGATTTTTTGGACAAACCCGGGCCAGGTTTGGGCCGCCAATTTGTCGTAATACTGCAGGAAAGCCTCTGCCTCTACCACATCACTGCTCCTCGTTTGCCTCGCGTTGACCAGATAGGCTAGCTCGACTAGCAGAGCAGCAACCAGACTTATTCCTCTATACGAAAGCATCCCAAGCTTGGCAACCCCGACAGAGTCGTCGGGCCTCCAAATTCAAAATTCGGCAGCTTCGACGGTCCTCTCCAATCTCGATCAGGCGCCGAGGATCGGGACAACCAACATGTAAAAAAACCCACCAACTGTAGCGCCTCCCGATCACGCGCGAAATCAGCTCCGATTGTGTGACGCCACCAACCAATCAACAACCGTATATAGCATCCTACCGCACAGCTCGAGTCGTGTCTGGTTCTACCTGTTAAAAGGTGACTGACTTGTACCATGTAGGTACAGGTCAGAGCAATTACACAGTTTATGATCGCTGAGGCTTGCAATGCAGTTTATTTATAGCCAGATATCAATTCACTGGAACCTTAGATGGATTTCTATTTGAAGTTATTTTCAACGAATTTAAAGAAAAACTGCAGAGTAAAACGGAGACGGTTTAAAGCAAGCGTAAGTCCAGCCTTTTAATCAGGCAAACAATGATAAATTCCCCCTTATTACAAGTTATTACAAATACTCAATTCATACAAAATGCATAAACACAAATATAAAACTGTTACGTTTCACTCCGTTTTCTTTCAAGAAAGGGAATGCACCTTGTTAGTATCAACAGTCTATAATAGCACAAAATATACAGAACAAACTTGGGGCCGGCCATTCCCAGAGGACAATTTCTATCTAAATTAATTCATCAAAATGTCAATCGCCTAGTCCTGAATTCATGACCCTACTATTAAAGAGTCAACAAATTGGCAAGATGTGCATGTCCTCTACACAAGCATCAACTACAGGCCTACACGACAGAACAGCATCTCAACACCACCATAATAATGCACAAAACAAGTGACCCTAAAAAGGGTTTTTCTTAAGAACTGGCACAGTGCTTCCATCATAACTGGGGGCCTTCCTGAGAGAGTAACAATGATCATGTGATTCGTGTACCGCTCCAGCAATTCTTTGGAACTTCACAATCCAACCAAATACATGTATATGTACATGTACATGTATAATGGTCGACGATCACATGTTGCAAAACCGCTAGACGTACACGATCAATAATCGACTACTACGAAATTTCAGACAATCATGGCCTCCAAACAAACCACAGGCTCAAGCAATCTAATTTTTTCAAACAATTCGTACTCGCCATGCCTTATTGACAAGCGCCTTCTACCTGCACTGATTTTATAAAATTGTAATTAATGAACCTTAAGTTTTCACACATCTTTGCATAAAAATACGCTGAAAAACTGCCTCGTCTCAACTTTCAACCGAAGGACAGGTTGAATACTGCAGTTGAAGCCTAGTGGGGCTTTGTCAACTGGATTTTTCTGGTTAGAAGAAATTCCCAATTCATTTTAAGCCCAACTAAACAAGAAAGTAATTTGAAACCCACTCATCAGGTTCGCGCAAACCAGTTCTGGGTAGTTGCTATGTAGAGAACCAGTTTTTCAGCCTCACCTTGGTTGAAAGTTAAACATGGCATAGACGTTTCAGTGCAAAAGGAAGGAACGCGCAAAGGGTAAATTCCCTCTTGAAATACTGATATTAAGAACACACAACCTATAGTTACGAAGTCTTTAAAGTTTATGCTGGCAATTACGCAGCTTCACAACGTCATCATCAGTCCTCACGTGAAGTGACCGACTTCTGTTGCGAGAAACCAAAAACCAACTACGTCGATGAAAGACAGCCTTTGTGTATATCGAAAACACATGTAGTCCCGAAGCGGACACCGCCGGATTAAAAACGGTCAGATTTAAAGAATGTAAAACATTACTAATACAAAGTAATCCGTGATGTATGAAGTAACAAATGCTGTTTCGAGTTAAACGTCATAAGCCGCAAGACGGTGACCAACTTCGGTTTATGAAACCACGGAAGCGCCGTTTCACGAGGCAAAGTACGTTCGACCAGAGTACAAAATATTATTATTATTTATCAATGTAAGACAGAGGTGAAGTCGTAGGTCAATCACAAGTTATTCTGTCTTAATCCTTCGTTTTTCTTTGAATGAGTCCCCTCGAATCCTTATGATTATGACTCCTTTGCAACTTTCGCCTAAAGGTTTAAGCAATATTAACCTGTGATTTGACGTGCTTTCTGGAATCATACTCTATAGTCATCCTTACTTGGAATAATACTGTCGAATGAAAATGAAATTTGTATGTATATCATCCAAACCAAAGTACTAAGGAATTTAGCCTTACCGTTCTTACTACTACTTAACTACTTACCAAGTTTACCATTTGTTTTATGATAGACAAACTGATCCCTTCAATTAAACTCGAGAGGGTAAAATCACCTTTTACTGTGTATTAAGGCTGTTCCGTCATATACAAGTACATTTATGTAATAGGGCACATTTCCGATTATTTGAAAACATGTTTGAGGGTTATTTGAAAAACTATTTAAGGTTCTTCAGATAAGTAGTGTTTTTTCGAATATCGAAGCTACAATGTACGTGAATGAACGGAACACAAGCCGGCCTCCGCTGACAGCCCCCATATACCTTTGGCAGCCCCAATTACCCCGCCCCCAATTGGGGCCAATAAATGCTTCACCTTTCACTCCAAAAGAACGATTGTGAGGCCCCAGAATACGTAAATTCAGCCTTAACTCTGAACATTTCCAGTACATTCTTCCTTTGGGTAATGACTTTCAAAATCCGTTTTCAAAAGGTTGCATGTAATTCGGCGCAATAATAATAATCAGTGCAGTTTCCAACCCCCAACAATATATACAATACCATTTTTGAAATACTGGGCTAACTTTAGTGACAAATTTCGGTATAAACTCTGAAGGGATTTCTATACATATTTAGAACTTAATATATTGGTATATATTTTTGACCAATTATGGACTGTTATCAATCTTAACTTCAGATACCGAAGAAACTGAAACACAAGTTATGAAGATGACGCCACTATTTTGTTCAAACACAAAAGGCCCTAAAGAACTTTTCGAAATAGCAACGTGAAGTCTGAAATTTGAAAATAAAGTACATACATTGAGTCCGATCAAACGATGTCTTAAAGGACCACGTGACAGTACACTTTCCCCCATGATTAGCTACCATGATATTAAATAAGCGTTTTATTAGTCACTGTATGTGGCATGTCAAGTTGCTGGAACGCATACAAAAACCGCCATTTTTGAAAATAAAGTTGCTGCAAAATCCGAGCGATTCACAACTCCAAGAGTTTGCAACGCTTTGGCCAATCACACTGGACGAAATCTGTCGCACTTTCCAAACGCGCATTGCGTCGACAGATTTCGCGCACTGTGATTGGCAAACTTTTGGGAGCACGCTCTTGTGAAACGCTCGTATTGGCTCCGCATGTTTCGAATGCGTTTAGCCATTGTTAAAGCTTTGAGGGCTTGCCTACTGGACGTGGCGCAGAGCGCAGTCTTCGCCTACGACAGTGGCGTGTGCACGTCCGGTCACGTGGGTCGGTGACGGCGCCCTGAGTTTGAATGACTACATTCCTCTAGTATGCAACCCTTCAGGTAATGACAGCTCGGATGCGATATGCATGCGCTACCGAGCCGAAGAAAGAAGCACGTCACAAGACACTTGGAATATCGAAGTTGAAGAGTCATAGAAGATCCGACAGAGGTGGATTTATAATCCGTCCTTGAATTGTTATCTTGCTCCCTCAAGCACATGCAGCACTATACACTATATGCAATAGCCACGTGGCAAAATCATTTGGTCCTGAACTTGTTATTTTGGTTGTAGGTAGGCGAGTTCGGTGGATTACCGATTAACAGGGCGCGACCCTTTGAGTAGGGGATTTTTTTTCACTTTTTGGCATCCAAATCAAATATTTCCTTAAGGTCGAAGTTGATCAGAAAACTAGCTGCAAAGAATCAATGCAATTAGTTCCTTGCTTTCAAGCACTGCAGTACCCCGTGCAACGTTTGTAGGCAACCGACGCCAATCCATGCTTGTTCGTCATCTCGACAGCCCCAAAATTCAAAACCTCTTTGGAAAAACTCAGTTTAAGTATCAGCCTCATGGCCTGTTGATATTTTACAATTTTACACTTCCGTTTCTTTTCCTCCAGAATAGAGTCCATTCTAATATCAAACTCAGTAATACTTCAGGCGCGCGCCCCTTTCTAATCATGTTTTGCTCCCAACTGTAGAGGTTAAAACATGTTTATATTCCGCTTACTACGTCTGAAACATGACCTAAAAATACAGAAAAAGGACGGAAAAAGTAGTGGACACACAAGTCTATAATTATCGCATTTTTCTGCAAAACATACGTGTGCCCTAGAGAATGAATCGAATGCATCTTTGAACGACAAGTATTATTTGCCTGACTTTTCTGGGTGCACATTTCATGTGGGCCTGACTGGTATCAATGTGGCAAATGATGGCAAATAAAAGCTAATTCAAAAAAGGCAATGATACGTTAAACACTTTGAATCGTTTGTTGGGCCTTAAGTGCATTCTTTATCAAAGGTTTCAATTTTTTCGATTCACAAAGCCTCCTACAAGAACCAAAAAAATAAAAAGGAAGTCCTAAACTTAGGACGCTCAGATACCAGCAAAAGTGGACTAGTAAAAGTCGAAGTTTCGGAGTTAAGTTTTCCATAATAGTTTTAGTAATTAATGTTCTACTTATCGTGGTTAGTGCAAGTTGAAACGACTTCCACCATTTTTTAAAGCATTTGATTTCATCACATCACATTTCCGAAGCATTATTACCTTGCTCTAGCCAACACGACGTGATAACAACCTAACATGGACATTCCGCAAGTAGCACAGGTAGCTCCAAGTTCAACACGTTAGATACTCACTCTTGTACAGTTCAAACAAAACACCAGTGCCTATAACTTTGGCCAGGTTTGGCAAGAGCAAACCCAGCAACCCCGGCCGAGGTACCCGATGTAATTGATGGACGACATGGAAATGCAACTGCGTCAGTCCCGATTGCAATCACGTGTGTGGAGTTTTAGAATTCCCTCCTTGTGAAGCTGCCACAAGATCTGGAACTCGGCGCTAAACTTGTGGACCTTGGTCTGTTTCCTGTCGTCGAAAAAGTGATTTTTCAGCGTTCTGGGGACAGGGTACACAGTCTTAGTGAAGGGCCAGAAGCCGAAAAGGCGCACCTCCTTGCACATAGTGAGGGCTGTCTGCGCGAGGTAAAAACCTGGGAAATACATGAAGAGACAAAAATCCGGCTGAAGAGCAAATGAACAGATCAAGTAGGTCGAGAAGGGATGGGTAAGACTGACTGACAGTGGTTGTGAAGAGAAAGATCAAAGAGTAAAGAACTGAAGAAAGAAATGAGATCAAGAGAAAACCACAAAGCCCGTTACTTGTTCTCAAATCAGAAGCACATAAATTTCTAATTTCATGGAATTTACCAGAAAATCATATCTTGACAACTAATTACCGACTAATGCCTTCACCAGTGGCATAACCCTTTAATTTTTGCGATCCGAAATTCGGCGTGAAGAGGCCTACCTGATGACATGAAGTGTATCCCAGCAGGATTCCAAGGCTTCATAATTCCTAGTAAATGTTTGGGGTTCCCGACAGTCACTGCTAACCTGTCCCCCTTTATGCCATCGGAGACGACCGGTAAAATTTCTGATGTGCAAATGTTCACAATCTTTCGGTCGAACAGGCAAGGCAAAAACAGCTGACCCCTGAACTCCTCGAGGTCTTTCAAGAAGGCTAATTTGTCATCGTCCGTGCGAAATTTGTTGTATCTGTAACAGAAAACGGAGCAACGATCACAATCGACAAAAACTGTGCCTTCAAAAGCTTTTTACTATAGTGCCACTTCGCATTTTCGGGGGAGACGAAAATCGCAAATAACAAAAACGATGGAGCAACAAGACTCCCGTTCGCACGCACATGTAGCAATCCATCATCAGCCATAGGATACAACACACAGAATCGATTACATAGCCAAAATACAAACTGTGGTCATTGTATTGCGATCAACCCTTAACATTCGACATTCACGAATGTACCGTCAAGATATTTTTGTCTAGAATTGAACACCTTATTAAAAGAAAGGCCCAACTCCCCCATTTTGGCCTCGGAGAGTTAACTGATTTCCTTTGCAACTCCTTCAAAAAATATTCACTTTTTGTTTAACTCAAAAAAGGGGTTTTGTTGGAGTTGGGCCCTTCTTTCAATTAGGTATTCAATTTATTTTTGCATGAATTACAAATTCATCATTTTGAGTGATTCTTTCCGTCATTGTAAATCCCTGGATCACATGAAAACGTGGTCTATCCAGAATACTGCGTGGGACATGTAATTATTTCAGACACACGAGTAGTTGTGCGTTCCCTTTAACTCCTCATAGTCACAAAATGTCCAGTATGAACTCTCACCTTGTAGCAACTATACTGGGATTCATAGTTGTAAAATTTGTCTTTACCCCGGCGTCAGCGGCAAACCTCTTGATAGGTACCATATTGCACCTATATTTCATAGCCACAAGAACAGAAAAGAAGGATGAATTAATTTTAAGTATCCCAGCAGTGAGTCTTCTTAATCTCACTTTTTGTGCATAAACTGTTCTTCAAAGTTGAGAAATGTTTCAAATCCTCTTGGAGCTAAGTCAATTGAAATTACACATTTTTGAAATTATAAATTGTCCAAGCTCTTCTGGAAAAGGGAGGGCGCAGTTAATGTGATGTAAATCGGGGATGACACGGGTTTTTGTTCTCGCGCTCGAACGGCGGCAACACGACTTAAGAACACTGTTCTCGAAACAGGAGCACACACCACCTCCTCGTCAGGGTTTTACAGGAACACACGGAAAAACTCGCGAGATTTTGATTTTTGAACAGTTGCAAACATGGCAGAAAGTAGAGTGATGGCTAACAAAGCCAGAGACAATAGGAAATTTTGAAAAAGTACTTATTCTTCATAACACAGCAATGAATGTTCCTGTTTAAACAGAAAGGAATTCAGCCCAATTACCAAAACATTAACTCTCCAATAACGCCGTCATGGTGCATGTCACTAACTACCAGCGATAACCAGTTTCACGTTGCCGGCGTTCGAACGGCTGCCCCAAGAACAACAAATCAAACTGTTCGTGAACATACGAGAACAAGCCGCTCGAACTCAGCCTTTCGGTTTACACGTTTTCATGTTTAAGTTATGACCCCTATATTAGTTCTTTGAAACTTTTCTGAGAAAAGGTGGCTCACTGGCCAATTGCCATTCAGTATACTTACCAAACAATACTTGCCACAGAAATGGAAATTTACGACAGCAACTACCGGGTTTAATTTGTGCGCAAATCAATGCAACACCGAGATTCAGTGCCAGCAATGGCCAGGTTTTGCTGGTGAATTGGCAAATGTGCAATCAGCACAAAATCGAAGAGTGCTCGAACAATGTAAAAATAACAAAAAAAATGAAGACTGAAAATTTGAATAAAATGTAATTGAAGCACAAAGGTGTATTTCAAGGGCTGAAGTTAACTAACTGTATCCCCCTCAAGATTATCCAGATAAAATTATAGAAATAATTGTGCTCAATATGTATTTTTTTCTTCTATGAGATAGACATTACTGTAGCGTTTCACAAATCTTTTATCACATAATTGAGATGAAAAATCAATTATAATTTGCTGAATCTCGAACTTCTGTTGACCTACCTGAATATAAAATCTGCTTTATCTATTTCCCTCCCACAACCGCTGTCCAATAGAAGCCCTCCGTTACCCACAACACTGCAAGTTTTGAACAAAGTTCCACTTGGGATAACTGGTTTCTATAGAATTGGAAAAAAAAAAGAAATGAAAGAAGGCATAAGAAAAGGAGTTTTATTCAAACTGCAGGAAAGATGTGGCATCTAAACAAGATGTGGTTGTGGAGATACATGTATTTTCGTTTGCGGATTCTGAGCAAGAGAGGGCGCTTTGTTACCTACTGAGAGGGAGATTGAACGATAGCCACGCATCCAGCGACCTGAAAAAACCGAACACTTTGCTTTCTTATCCAATTGTTTATAGATGGCACACAATATAAATAGCTTTGAACTGCTGTTTTTATTAAAAAAAAAGAAACTGAGCGATATTTTTGATAGATGCCAGTCAGTCGTTAGGTTACGGGCCGACACTAATTAAGCGCTTCCTTGACGCTGCCCAATTACTTCCGGGGGGCATTGCTTTTTGTGAAGAGTTATTAACTATCATCAAGAGGTCTCCACCTTGTAAACGTAAAACATTATGCTGCATATTATGTTTTCGTCCTTGCATTTTATCGGCGTCTGTGCCGATAGAGCTCGAACGAGAGTGAATCCTGTCCCGTATGTAGTCTCCGAAAATAAGGAACCAGTAGCGGGTAAAGAAACCAGCAGAATTCTGCCGGGCCGATATCAACGAGGAAACGATCCCCGTTCAATGCACATACAAGTAGCAGCTGAAAGAATATTTGGCTTTTTCTTCTTCCTTACCAAAAATAACTTCACCCTAAATTGTTCATTTATCTAAAATTTAACACAATAACCACTGATTTGAAATAATTTGCCGTAAAATTATTTATTGATGATAATCATTGAAAAATACACGTAAATTACCACACTGTGATCGACCGAGGTTTATGAAGGATACTTGTCTTTTGCTAGCCTAACCGCTGCAGCGTAGAGCATGTTAAAACCATGGTTAAAACATTGTTACAGGCCTGACAAAAACTTAATTATTCAGCATCCAGATTGACAGGGCTAATCGCACCCTGTATAATAGGGGCGGGAACCAGTCCAAGGTCAAACAAGGGCCCGTGTTCGCACATGGTAACAAGACGCACAGAGCGTATATGTACTGTACACGTACATGTACATGCAACCAGCCGCACAGAGCACATGTGTGTTCGCTGTGTTTGCACACGGTAACGATGCATCTATTCAGGCTTATGACGGCCCAAACAGACGTGTGTGAATATAGCCTACCACGAAAGTATGCAAATCTACAAATATAACACCATTGGAAAAGATTTAAGACACGAGAACAAGAGAGAAATATGGGGAGAGGTACGCATTTACACAATAACATTGTCTTTTTTGCCTACACAAAGACATGAGCAGTTGTCCTAGATAGAGAACACACGGACTCTACAATATTTTTGAACAGGTAAAGAAATGCGTATGGTGTGAATTTAGTATGTCTACATGACGGACGAAAATCACTGCTAAAACGCACCCGGCTCTATTATGTACGTGCTCTTTCAAATCATTCTGCATCCAAACCTTGGCATCACTGCTTTAGTGTGGAACATTTCCGGGTAAGCTGTCCTCGTTACATTATATCTTCCTCCACAGTTTATTGACACCGACGCGATTGCGAACCCATTGTCAACTGAACTACACGTATACGGCCTTCAGAGATTTACATGTAGGTCGCAAAGGAAAACTTCCTTGATCCTCGACAAGGAACCAATCAACAACAAATTGTCTTTTAAAGGTCGTCTTGCAGTACCACGTTTTAAGGAATCAGCAGAAAGAATGGTCACATTCGCAACTTATGCGACTTTAGTAAAGACAAGCTAACAAAAAGCACCAACACGGATGATCTTGGACAGAACAGGTGATGAGAAATGGGTTTTTTCTGCAATAGAAAGCACTTGAAAACACTGCAGAACACAGCCAAGGGGTAGGCAGGACTGTGTCAGTCTACATCGAAAGTCCATGCAGCAGGCAGGGAGTATCCATGAACGAAAAAAATACGTGATGGCTTGCAAAATAACACCAGTAGTAAAGTTTGGCTTGAAGAGATATGAATCCAATACGGATCAGTAAATTCACTGGTATTATTCAACGATGAAAACAAAATACAAACATCTATACGTTAGAAACAAACTGTAGTGAAAGTGAAATGAATAAACAGTTTCAAAATGATAATACCTCGATTTACTGATAGTTTCGTTTTATGTGACAGTTTTCCCCCAGTGACTTTAATGCCAATATACGCGGCCGAATGAATTTTTGAAAGTGGCATAAAAGCTATACTATAACTGAAGAGATTGTTTGGTTCCGTTTTAGTCATTGAAGTCGCAGAAACGTGCAAACTCAACGACAAAACGGGTATATATAATGTATATGTACAATGTTCCTCAGTGCTTTGCCTAAAGCAGATCATACTCAACGCCTTAAAAGTAAGTTAAACCATACATTGGTAAAACGTGAAAAATGGGACTGCCGAAAAGTCAGTCCTTGAAATATTTCCGCTCAGAATGCTGTTGTTTTCGAGGAAACAGAATTGTTTTCTCTTTTTCTAGGCCGACCATCGTTTAAAAATTCGCGACGTTTTTACGGGGGCCGAGTTTTGTGTGTGGTGTTGTAGTAGTCTGAATGAGCAGGTACCATTGTACGTAACAGCAGAAATACACACCGGCGGAAATTCACAAAAGCTATACTGAAAAGTAAAACAACAGGAAATTAGGTGTAGGCCTAAGGTATCAAGTGAAAGAAAAACTGGATCAGTTTTAAGCTAAATTTTATCTACGAACATGGATTTGCTTCACGGGAAACTGTTGCGCTTTCACTATCACCCCCGAAGCATAATGGCATGGTATACACCATGCATGGTTGCCGTTTCCGAGCTCAGTGCAGGGCGAGAGGATGTTTGTCTACAAAAGCTATAATTTCTAGACGTTAAACCTCCAGTGTTTTCTGATATAATTTCCTCTCTGTCTATAAATATTCGTTAGTCAACTGATAACGGATTTCAGGCTTCCACTGACGAGTGTAAACTGACACGAAAGTGTGGTCATGGAGCATAATCGCACATGCATACTCCTTGTGTCATGGACACGAGTCGACGGCAGTAACTTTACTGCTCGATTAAGTTTCTTCCCACGAATCCACAGAATTCAGTTCACAATCCTACACTGCCGAAGAGGATATTACATATAAATCAAGATAAATTTACTGCATACTCAGCCGTGGAAAACTGGTCTTTTTAGATCGCAATGGTACCTGTCATGCGTGTTCATCTACAAACGGTCCCCGCGTATACGTTGTTCGATCACTCAGAACGTCTTGTACGTCATGGAGTTTGCGCAAGATAAACTTCAACTTGACAGTTGAAAAGGCCGCTGTTATTTCTCGATTTTGCTCAAAGCAATTAACTCACGTATGAAAGCGGTCAGTTGATTGAAAGCTGCAGTAAATATTCCAAATCAATCATGTAAAACAATGGCGCAACTTCCCTTTCAATTTTTCCCATCTCTCTCTACTGGGCGGAGGGGGGCGGCAGGCGTTAAGGTTTGTGACTCCGTGGCCAGAGGGTCAGGGGTTCGAATCCAGCTGCTTGTCATGCCTTGGGCAGCCACTCTCCACCCAGGAGTGTATAAAAAAGGTACCGGCATTTAGCTGGACAGCAGTCTGCAATCGACAGGCATCCCATTCAGGGAGGATTAATTATTCTCAATCGTTTTATGCCAACAGAACCGGAGATAAACACTGGCCTGACGAATCGAATGGCTTGGAACATACAGTACTTGTTTCTCTTTCCTCTCCACTTTCGGATTTAGGACGAGCAATATTATGGGGACAGAAAGGATAAAATCGTTAACAAGTCTACTTGAAGTTGACAGCACAGCAGAACTGAAAAAAAAATTATATAAAAAATATCATTGTAAGAAAACACTACCGACGACCGCCCGTGTGCTGTAAATTACATTCGATTCACAACAGCCATGCACGAGCAAAAAGTCGTGAAGCAGATAATGGGAAGGGGGTGGACGGGATTATTTCAGTTGTAGAAGAGCCTGTGAAATGAAAGGAAATAGGCTATCACGATCAAGGGAAGGGTACTTTCTTGATATCCCATAAATGTTACGTCGATAATGGCACGGGCGAACACGTTATAAGTAATTGCTCAGACTTCTGTCATAATGGGGCGTAAATTTGTGTTTGAAATTGCAGTGGGGGATGGGAAAAGGTGACTTCAATTAAATGTCTTCATTACACAAAGCTACCCCTAGACATCGCCTTCCTCGGTTCATCTGCTCGGAGATTATGGCGGGGATTCAGCGGGCATTACCTTTGGTAGGTGCTCCAGCAGGTCTAGTTGAGGGGAGTAAGTCCGTGAATCCTCGGGCAGGAAAGGCGAGTAGAAAGGAAGGGAGGTCGCTGAATTAGTGTTCTTCTGGGTCAGTGTGAACTCGTCTATCGCAGTGGACTTGGAAGCATGGAAAACCTCCGTCCTGATAAAATATAAAAAAAAAAATAAATAAATAAATAATTAAAAAAAAAACCACTCAGTGACATAAAACAACCGGTCACGGTTTTAGCAATTACTAATTCACTATAATGTTTAGGGGGTCTTCAATAGAGAAATATCCAAAATACTTCCATGAGGAAAACTTTGTTTTCGAAATATTCTGAAAAAAAATCCAAACTGACGATTACGTTACATGTAAACATGGACAACGGTGGCTACCTTTGTTGGGCTAAATTCAGTAAAACAACTGCATGGTGACCATAAAGTCATATGTCTGGATCTACAAACTGCACGTAAATGTACTTGGCCCTTGTCTACATTGTTGGATTTATGGTTAATTATTAACGTTATCTTTGATAAGACTGGCGGCTGACCCGCACGAGATGTCACTGTTTGTTTGACACGGATGACAGATGTCCGGGGATATTCCTCACCCGTTCCTCGATTTGGGCGATTTAAACGATTATTATCCTCCAAAATTCTCAAATCTCTCTTGAGCCACACCTATTCCCAGGGTTGGGGTGATTTTCTGCCCACCTTCTACAGCTTCAATTATTTATCACAGAAAGAATAAGCTGTAGCTTCCTGTAAAGAACGTGTATTTTAGGGGATTCATAAAAGCGGACAGAGTTAACGAGAGTTCTCGTAACTATCTCCCTTTGAGCAGACGTTTGCTTAAAGTCAACATTCCCTCCGTAAATACAACCACACATAGCAACAGAGAACAGAACATAAAGAGCACAGAATACGCCAATAAACATGTACGACAGACTGTGTAAATAATTATGAATGTGGTTCAAGCTTTTCCACCAAATAGGGATCTAAGGAATACTGGCACAGTATAACATCCATGTAGACACTGTCCCTAACCCGTTGAACCTGTTACTTGCTTCAACAAAATTGTGTTATGTTTCTCATTTTCGCTCGGGCCATATTGCACAAACGTACGGCACCCTCATACAGGAGTGGTTTTGTATTACATTTATTCCTTTGAAGATACTCATCAATTAGGCTTCTTCTGCCCTACAAGGTACATGCAAGTAAATAACTTCACAAAACCAACAGAGAAATAAGGTGACCGCGTCAAACGAGTAACAACAAAATTGTAACCCTGACTGCGGCTCAGTCCGGGCCCCCAGGGCTTTTCAACTGCGAATGTACATACCTCATTCGTGCCCTCACTGTGAGCCGTGCAGTATTTTCGTTCATATACATGTACATGTAAGTAAATGTACTGCACTTCTTGTGTGTTTTGCAGTTGAGAACATTTCGCCTGTCACACTCTTTAAAGTCAAAGCATGTTTTTAAACAAAAAGATATAATGGAAAGGCTGCAGCGACGGCTTCCCTGGTTGGACTTCAGTATTTATGTAGCTCCAAATTACAGGTACTTGAAAATAAAAGGCGCTTATTCATATTTTTATCAACCGTGGACAGCGGGCCGCAAGCATTCCTTAAACCATCTCAGCTCCCTGGTGATTTGATATACAGCTTGGCGCAACTGGCCAGTAAATATGCACCAACCACCTCAACCCTTACAGTCAGGTGCATGTATCCATTTCTGCTCCTGGGTGGTGAGAGGCAAGCGGGCATGGGAGGAGTCACTCGCCATGGGTCACAGCATGATGTAGCCTAACCAGTTGGTGAACCTCTCACCCTTTGTGCATGAGTAACAAACCCCAACCACTAGGCCACACATTTAGTGTTACACACTAGTTTTGTAGAAATATAAAAACAACCAAGAAACATATATAAAACAACCAAAAATAGGTAAACAAAAGACCCCAAACAAAACAAAATATAACAAAAAAACCCACACAAACACCTAAACATAAATAGACTCACACTCTGTCCTCTTGGCATTTTTTTTGGGGGGGTGGAGGGTAGTGTTAACATTTTTATTGTGGTCTTTAGTGGCTTTTCTGAGGTATGATTTTACATTTTCGGGGATATTTAGTTTTTACACGCTTATGGAAGAGTAATAAAGGGAAATGAAGTACACGTGGACCAAATACTGCCCATCTCTCATTTTTCAAAGAAAGTTTTTTGTTCATTCCAGATTTGCACTACCAAACTGCATCTTGCTGTCTACAGTGATAGGGAATATATACAAATCAAAAGGTTGGAGGGCCTGGCGTTTCAATGCTAGTAAATTTTTTTTTAAGTGGTAAGATGATTTAAAAATGAAAAGGAACTACTCACCGATGTGCTTCGACTAGATCCGGCCTATGAATCCAATCGGTTAGCATATATTTTTGATATATGAAGAGAATCTCATCTTGGGTAGATGTGAAGGTATGCACGAATTTGGCACTAAATTGAAAAAATACCAAAGTTGAAAAATAAAATAAATGAAATGGGTAGTTGTATCTCATCCTCTAAAATCTGATTAAAAACTGAAGTAAGAAAGAACTTACAAAACTTGGCAAAATACGGCACTGGTGGGAAATGCTAATTGAACAATGAATTGGAAACCCATTTAAGCTAGGCCCCCTACATGTAGTTAGTTACAGATTGCATTTGGCACAAGGTTAGGGCTTAGATAAAAAAATATCAACATTATCATCATCTGCAGGAGGCATAATGACGTACATGATAATAATGCACACTAACGACATGCACACTAACGACATGCAGGTGACATACATGTAATGCGGTGGTGTGTCAGCGAATATTGCCATTTAATATTGGCCTGACAAGCAGACTACTTCATAACGCATTCACTGAGTCACTGTTTTGAATGCGTAATCAACGAATCCCGTATGGCGAACGAACACAGTTGTGGAGGAAACACAACCACCATATTTTTTTTAAAAAGGAGCATTTTTATGATTTAAACACCCACCTGGTCTTGAAAGATACCGATACAGTCTGAAGGCTGTATATTTAATACATTGTTGGGTTACAGCATATCATTCGACCTCTTGCTATTATATACTTGTATGTAATTTCACAATGCACACTTCAACCTAAGTTATTTAAACATCCTGCATGGTTTCATTTTTCACTCATGACATACAAGGAAGGTGTTGGTATGCAACTGATATTTCTGTAACAGCCGGGACAAATGCAGCAGGGTCGTGCTATTGCTAAATATATGTATCATAAAGAAATGTACAATTCAAGGCAGCTACATTGCTCTTTAATTATATTCAATCACGTGAATTCACTGCTGACATTGACAAAGTTAATGTAACTGTTAAATCTACCGGGGAGGATTGCTTACAATTAAATATATATAATAGATCATGAGTTCCTGCATATGTTCAAAACTTTGGATGATAGAAACGAGCAACATATCATATGTGTATGGAAAATATAAAATAACCCAATATCCAAACGAACAAAGCATTCCATTAATATATTTCTCCCAAATAATTGTGCTGTGCATTAATTCAATTAAACACTCCGAAGGCAAAGCTCGTCCAAGTATTTGCAGCTTATATCTCCCCAGCTATAGCTCCTGTTATATGCCTGCAGACTGGTGAATGGCCCGGTCTGGTCTACGTACGCTTCAGAAGGTCGGAATCAAATCACATTGCTTCAATCTTTCATGCAAAAATTGTAAAAAAAACTTCTATTTCGAAATGATGAGACCTCTAACTAGACGAAAATGCCTGTGACGTTCAAATTGAAATTTGGAGGATTTCATTTGAATAAGAAAGAATAAAATATCGGCGTACCATGATTTTCGTTTTATAAGATTTTTTTACATCAGTAGTCAAGATTGAAGCTTCAATTCATGTTTTAGCCCTAACCCTAAATAATACTACAAATTACTACTTGTAGTAAAATGTAGTACTGAGCGCTGTCGCTTGTAAGAGGACATGACCTTATTGTTCTCAGAAGCCATACAGTAGGTAAGACAACGTACCATACAGTGCTGTGGCACTATGAATGCATGGCTTTATTGTTCTCTGTACAAGTAACAATGGAATTAACCCAGCCAGAAGTAGTAATCTGTAGCGCTAGGTCCTTCAGGCTCAGACTACTACTCAGTATTTTGTAGTATTGTGTAGTGTAAGCCAAACAATATGCTTGGCGATTGGGGTTAAATTGACATCATGTTACATGAGCTGAAGTATAAAACCAGACCGGCAAACACCAAACAATTAAAAAATAGATCCTCCAATGGCAACAACTGTCACGCCCCGACTACAGCATCTGGCATAACTGTAGTGCTGCACTTGAGCCGCCTAAGCTAAACGAAGAAAATTTCTCAATCTAACATCAAAGTTTATGCATCTTGACTTTGGCATATGCACCTTGGACTTCAGTGCTGCGCTCTGGTTGGGGGCAGATGCAATATAGCTGGGGTGCAACAGCATGGTGTGAGACCGTCCAGAAACGAAGGCGAGGTGCCAGACACAGTTGTGACTCACTTACATAGGCTTTATGCAGAATGGGATTGGTGTTTCCCATGGGCCAGTCTATTTTCGTGTACTTCATATTTTCAGTCTCTGTAGATCTGAATTCCCAAGACACAGTTTTGAACTTCCTCATTTTTTGAACTTTTCCCACCCTCCGAGGTAAAAAAACTACAAAGAACTGCGACACATGTATACAATCACATCAAGTTGATCAACTGCATAATGAGAATAAAATGTTTTTCGTCCCGGGATAGCTTGGAAAACCCTGAGTAATTTCAAGCACCACAATAACAGGAATATTTCTCGACAAGTATACGGTTCTATTTCACGTGAGCAGCTGGTTAGAAATATCACTCTCGTTTATAACTCTGTGATCAGTTTGATCAGGATTACACCACACCAACAATCCACGAGCACCAAAAAATACAACTCTAAACACAATCTTCACTGGGGCTGAAAATTTGACTCTGCTGCTAGGATTTCTCATTCTTTGTAGCAACAATGACCGCGTGGGCAAGATAGACTTCGGGTATGGGAGCCACCCAAATAATAGGACACGTACCTTCCGAACAATGCAGCACTTTTCAGCGATTCTGTCCAGTCCTCGCTCGTAGGCGCCAGCGCTGAACTGATGGCTTGATACACGGTAGGGCCACCCCTCATGACCACCATCCAAATAAAAATGACGAGGACGGACGTGGTCAACATCCGTAGCTTAACGAACTGTCGCATTTTTGTCTATAATGGCACCTGCGTTCAACAGACGGGGTAAACGGTTGACAGGTGCATGCACGTAAATGTACATAAAGATCAGTGCGCGGTATTACAGGAGTAGTGTGTCCATGGAGCATGGGACTTTGAACATCGACAGCCCTTTTCACGTGACCCCAAAATTCGACCCCAAATCAATCGCCATATTTTCATCATGACACACCACGCAGCACGCCTTGGTGAATCTAGAGAACCATAACCAAGGATCCCCACACTCCACAGTTCTCGGATTTGCCTCCACGATCAGCAAAAGGAAACATGTATGGACACATTTCGTCACGAAACATGAAAATGATTAACGGTATTACTTTTAAGTATTAGGACCTTACCTCTGCCTGTACTGTGACTGAAGGGCTAGTAGTCAACTACATTGACGTATCAACGACATACCGAAGAAATTCCCACATGACCGTTACTCCGATAGCAAGATCATTCATTCACGGCCAACAAACTGGAGCACACTCTCATGAATGAACAAAAACCCGTACTCCAGAGTTTCTCTAGAATCCTCCTCTACATTATGCCACAGATTTCACGACAAGCAACCCTACAGGTCAGGCGGGATAGAGCGCGAACGCTTCCAACTGTCCAACGAGACGAAATCTTCTGTAACGGTCTTCCATATGACTGCACCATGCGGTCGTGGTGCTCGAAGAAACGACACGAGCTTGCGAAACACCAGCAGACAGGGAGCGGCCTTAACTCGACGTGTGTGGAAGCGGCTGATCATCGCACGATGAATGGCGCTACATACGTAAACGGCACTCTCATAACCACGCCAGGCATGTACATGTACATGTACACTGTACGTGCATTGCTCCGCCGACAAAGAAACTCAGGGCAAGCCTATTGTTCGGCTATTGAGCCAACGGGACGATTACATGTACTTGTAGATGTGACTGCTGTTTTAAAATAGTGCTATCCCTTATGCCGGATGTCGGCATTGCCATTTTCAATTTGATGACAAAAACATGCGGAAATGGGAAATGTTTCGCTGGATAACGATGATAAAACATTTGCTGTGCATGCACAGGAGAGATATTGCACCATTCTGAATCAACTCAGGTGAGTCACCTCTGCCGTAATGAAAGATTGTAGGCCTACATGTATAAATACTTTGAGTATGCGGATTAAAAACAACAGCATTAATGAATATTGATATTTAGTTCCGCTCATAAATTCTGCTGAAATATTTCAGACCTGATTTCTGTCGGAAATATATCTACATGTACCTTTTTGCACGTGGCTTCCATTCTGTTTTGCTTTGTGACGATCAATGTCATCCGCCAATAGTTGATTGTAAATAGGCACAGGTCGTTATCTGCTGAGTCAAGGGCTCTGTAAACATGGAGGTAGAAATATTGTTTTGCTGTAAAGGACAAGTGTTGGAAGAGATAGCACCGTGCCACAGCAATCATGTAGGAAGTGGATGCGGCTGTAGATTGGATTGTGCATTAGCATATGATAGCCCTGACTGAATGTACGTGTTAAATGGGACGTGCAAATTATAACCACTGGTGGAGCTTCATTAAAGTGTACCCGAATGAATTTTTTTAGACAAAATTTTTCGATGCTTGCCTTTTGCTATGCACATGACCAACAAGGAATCAGCAAAGGAAACAAAATTTCATCCAGCAAAATCTATAAAAACTCAGTGCACTTCAGTACAGAAACCAATGTAACATTGAGGGGTCCAGTCCACTAATTCAAACTCCATTGAAAACAGTGTAAAATCAGCACTGTTCAGGGCCCAATAACATGCACGCCAACATCCCTGAGATGTCTGAAACACAAATGNTTTGTGTGGGTTAACCAAGTACATTTTTAATTATTCCTTCAAAACAAAATTACCCCCCAAAAAGTGATTTTTCCTTTTTTCAAGTGGCAACCCTCAACTTTCTCGGGCAATTAGGACCATTTTTCAACCGTATTTTTTAGCCCTTCTGCTCTCATATGAAAGCTCAAAGACCCAGGGAGCTGATCCTGGCAACGATTTAAACAATCTCACCATTTTGGGGGCCAAACAATCTCCTTTTTCAAAAGATACTGTGGGGGCACTTTTAATGCTAATGAGCTGTTCAAAAATTCTCACTTGAGTAAGCGGTCTGCACCCTTTGAGGCTTTCTCCTATCCTAGGATGACATCACAGTCTTGCTCATGAATATGGAAATAGGCCTACTTATCATAAAAACTCAAAAGGCAGTAAAAGATACCCTTTGAAATTGTGAAATTGAAGTTAAAAAGAGGTCAAATTAGACACAAAGGTGCATTTTGAAGATTTGTATCAAATTGATAAAACATTTCATGCGTGTTAAGAGAAATCCAAATGTACATGTATTGCTTTCAGATTACCACTTTATTTGAGGTTGGCCCTGTCTTCCTTCCTCCAAGGTTTGTTGAACGGGAGCATTTCATTATTCATGTGTTATATTGTTATCGTCATGCATTTATCCTTTTTGTTTGTTTTCATTTCTTTCAAGTGGCCTCAGGAACGATTTGGAGTACGCATGCGCTTCAGCTAGGAGATGGGCTTTTTAGTTATTTTTGGTTCAGTTTGTATGGAGTATTTTCTGTTTTTGTGCTGTTTTATAATTTTTGTGTCGGCATATTTTGGCATAGTTCTGTTTGTCCTTGTCCAAGGGCAGATCCAAAACCATTTTGTTTTTTTTTATGGGGGGGATTTTTGAGAGGCCCAACAATTTACAAATTTCTGTTGATGTAGCCTTTTACGCCCTCTCTGCCGGATGAGGTTAAAATTTGGGACTGTTAAAGGTTTTGGGTCGAAGGGAAGTAAACCAGTCCCCAAGTTAGCATTTTCTCCTTTCTACCCCTTGCTTCTTTTGGAGAAGGGCATGACCCCTCAGTTCCCCCTTGATCCTACAGTGTCTTTGTCTTCAGTTATTGACTACTAGAAGGTCAATACACGAATGTTGGAAAATGAAAACCCCCTCCAAAAGGAGGAATAACACCAGTCCAGATCTTCACGTTACGTCAATACCACGAAGTAGTACTCATGTATGGTTGTGTGCGCCGCTTCAGCGCGTATTTCACAGAAATGTGTTATTTTCATTTTCACGAAGTAGCACGTGCGGCACGTGCTACTTTTCAGGAGTTGACTTTTTCCTTAATTTAAACAGTCAAAACGAGTTCTTAAGAGCATCTTCTAGTTAAGTCACATATTTACGGGTGAATCAAATCATTTTAGACCTTTCGAAGTGTTTTTATAAATGCTATATTGACAAAATGCACATTAGTGCTACTTCGTGAAAACGAAAACCGTTCGATTATGCATCAGTGTACTTTGTGCGCACGCACACTTGAGTGCTACTTCGTGAAACCGAAATTGATGTAAACATGGTTTTCACGAAGTAGCACGCAAGTGCAGTTGATCTGAGTGCTACTTCTTGGTGTTGGTGACGGTCAGTGTCACCACGGTTTTCACGGCGATTCACAAAGTTATCTCCTTAATCATTCGGAGCATTTATGAGTGAGTCGGTTTCACATCTCCCCTCAATGTATCGTGGCTGACGTGGAAACCTAAAGAGATTGTTTCCAAATGTCAGTCAACAGGAGCAAACCGTAAATTTGCTAATGTCCCCTGAAAGAATGTATACTTGGAGACGGATAAATATTTCTGAAGATCATTTCTGCCACTTCTATAGGTTATAGTGCCACCTTGTTCATCTCCCTGGTGGGGGATTCAGGAGGATTTTTTTCCAAGTACCAGTGTGCCAGTGTGGCACTGGTACTTGGGGAAAAAATATAATCCAACGATTGGTCAAGGAACACACAGCAATGGGGCCTAAGGCTACGCAAAGAATATGGCCGGCCGGCAAAGCAAAAAGAACAAAAAATCTATGTTCCGACATATGTCTTTGGAAGTTGAGGTCTAGTCCTGACCTCCAGTTCTCTACCGCTGACTGAGCTGAAGACTCCTAATCAGTCAACCTGTCCGGTACTTGAAGGCAGACGCAATCTCCCGTCTCCTTCAACAGTTTGACCCAGTAGTCTTAGGCACAACCTCTGAGGACCTCCGGTTTATTGCAGTTGAGTATGCTACCTGGTGAACCAGGACGTAGTTAGCAGACATCAACCCAGTGTAACGGCCTCATTGCTCGGATTTCCGGGAAGTAAGCGAACACTGACGAGTGACCCGATCTGCGACCCAAAAGTATGCGCATTGAATCCCGTTGTGGTTCACTTTATTGGTGTTCTGAGTTCCTACATCACATGGGTTCAGTCCACTAATTCAAGTGAGAGTTTCCTGCCAGCTCATTAGCGTTAAAAAGTGCCCCCACAGTATCGTTTGAAAAAGGAGATTGTATGGCCCCACAATGGTGAGATTGTGAAAGTCTTTGCCAGAATCAACTCCCCGGGGCTTTGGGCTTTCATCTGAGATCAGAGCGGCTAAAAAATACGGTTGAAAAATGGTCCAAAGTGCCCAAGAAAGGTGAGGGTTGTCACTTGAAAATGGCTTCAAGCAGACTTCGAAAAAAATCACTTTTCGGGGGGTAGTTTTGTTTTGTGGGAATATATCAAAATGTAATCGAATAACTCACAGAAAATTGAAAAGAAAGTGAAAGATTAGTGACCATGAAATAATGTAACGTGTGTTTCAGATATTGTTACGCATGTTATTGATCCTGAACAATGCTGATTTTACTCTGTTTTCAATGGGGCTTGAATTAGTGGACTATATTTAATCACGGCACGTATGAGTTCGCTTGGACGTCCGCGCATGTGCCTCCGTCAAAGTAGACTTGACTCAAGTCGGGATCTCTGTGAATTTGATTATGCTTTGAATAAATATCAAGACCGTACCGCGCGCCGTTACTTGCTTCGCGCCCTCTTGTGTCCACTTATTACTATGAGTTCGGTTCAGAAATCCCGACTTGACAAATCTGCCAGCCGCTAGTACACAGTGAATGGGCTCATCTACCAAAAGTGGTAGCAGCTAATTACAGTGCCGGACTTGTTTTTACGTCATTCATACCTGCATTGTAATGAACGAGTCTACAAGTCTGACTCGTGTGCTTTGTGCAAGATCACGTCGTTCATATACAATGGTGAATAACTACATATCACTGACGTGGTCCGATTGGCTTATCCGTCAAGTCGGACTTACTGACTGGTGACGTATGACACACGCTGTACAATAACGGCTATCAACTGGGGGCGCCTTATAAGGGTTATGCGAGCGAGACGACAGACACGTGTCGTGCGCACAGGCTGAAAAATGGCTGATTGGGGAAGAGCAACGCAAGTCCGACTTGATTCAAATCTACCGTCGAAGTGGTGTTGCGGACATTCCGTTACGGTCATGGCGTCTATATAGTGTCAGGTTCGAAGGATACCTGTACAAGCACAATATCACAGAACAAACGGTATCTGCGAAGTGGGTCTTATCCTTGTTGGATAACGCTATCGGTGGAGAGGAGTATTAGGTCCCAGGCAAGGGGTTGACTGACTTGTGACTATCTGGCTCAATATCCAATTACGACAGCGGCATTTGTAAAAGCATGGAGGAATAAGCCCCTCCGTGGTAAAAGCCCCTGGTGTTCGTTATGGCCATTGTGCCAAAGTATTAGCATATACACATTGCGTTTACTGGAAATACTGAAAAATACACCCCCTAGTGCGGCTGTGAAGCGTAGAATACGTGGATCAAACAACCTTTCCATACAGTCTCCTCTGTATATTCGGTCACTCGGATGCCCCTGGACCACTCCAAATGCAGAACCACACCCAAAGCGTACGTACGTGTGCGACTGGAAAAAACGGCACACCGGATGAGAAGAGGGCGCGTTGCGGCACCGTGCTCATTTATCTGGTGGTTCTTCTGGAAACCCGAGCACGCCGGAAAAATTAGACCGTAACACCAGTGAACAGTTGTTTTTGTGTTCTGCTCAATGAGAGTCCAAGATTTTCTCACCTGTGAACGGTGTATCTGAGAGTCTGAGAGTCTGAGATCTGAGAGCCAAAACCAAGCAACCAAGCAACCAACCAAGCAACCAACCAAGCAACCAACCAAGCAACCAAGCAACCAACCAAGCAACCAAACAACCAACCAAGCAACTAACCAAGCAACCAACCAAGCAACCAACCAAGCAACCAACCAAGCAACCAACCAAGCAACCAAGCAAGCAACCAAGCAAGCAACCAAGCAACCAACCAACCAACCAACCAACCAACCAAACAAACACCCCAACAAACACCAATAAACAAACAAACAAACACCCCAACACCCCCAACAACCCAACAAACAAACAAACAAACAAACAAACAAACAAACACCCCAACAAACAAACAAACAAACAAACAAACAAACAAAAACAAAGAATCGAATAAAAAACAGACCAAAACAATACAAAAATCCCCCCAACAAAACATGTACATGATGCAGTATGCAGCACACTCCCTGTAACGCATAGACTTCAAATAGCTGTCCACTTAAAATAAATGAGCCTCTATATAGACTAATTGCAAGATTATGCAAATATTCAATCCACCTACGTTTATTTACAAGTACAGTTTGAGTTATCCATGCGTCACGTTCTTACTGGTATATCTGGAGCATTTATTATTTTTAACGACCCCAGATCACTTTAATCATATGTACAGGTGTTCTCAATGATTAACATATCTGAATACGTACGTTTTCCTACTACACACATGCACCAATGTGCAGGCAAAGGTGAAATAACACTAACCCACTGTATTTACATCAAACGTTGCCTGTGAAATAAATCAATAAATAATCAAGTAAATCAATGAGATTTATTTCTTTTGCTTCAGGATAAAATAACACAACGAGTGGTGTGATCAAAAGGCACTAATGTTAAAAACTATCAACATATTTTCTAATCAAAGTTAGCATCAAGATTATGTAATACACACGCCTCCCAGCAGCATGAAAAGTTATGAACTTAACCCTCCCAAATAACGTGGCTATCACATACCTGAGAGCCAACAGTATGCCGAATGGCACAAATGGATTTTGAAACACCCGATTAGTGAATGATTCGAACAAAAGCGAACTTCTCGACACGATATTTTGGGATGTGTTTTAATAGCTCAATGCTCGGGATAACCATAGAGCATGGGATAACTTGAACCAAAAACTACAACGGCGAGGCGAGCTAGAGGGCGCTATCTACTTTTCCGCACGCGACTCCTAAAAAAGCAAGCGATTACTTAAAAAAAGTGCCTTCATTCAGAAACCGTGTGGTCTAAGCTTTTCAGGCTGGTCCCTTGCACTTTACTCGTAAAAATAACAAATTTATGCAGTCTTCAAGACGAAATAAACGGCCATTCATAAATACCTCTGACAGTCTCCCAACAACGTGCAACTTTATATTAACATTTGATAGTGCAGCAGAGAAGTGTTGGTGCCCGGCCCGCCGTGTAAATTACGCGCAGGCGTACGTCTGGGTACGAGACAGTTTAATCGACTCTGACTGGTCAAGAGTCAGTGTGCACGTGGCTCGCCGCGCTCGCTGTAAGTCCATATAAGGAGACTCTTAGGACAACAATAAACTAAAATGGACGGGGGTGTTCAGGAAAATCATAAAGTAAAATTGTAGAACAAAATGATAAGAAATCTGTCAATTTTGACTTCTTTTGACTTCCTGCCTAAAAAAAGGTATTTATAAATAGGAATAATATTTGCTTGGCCGGTCTTTAACGTCTAAGATCGGCTCAGGAGACTGAACGCTGATAATGGCCTGGCCTGCGGCTCAGACATTAGTCGCGTCCGTTCTCCTTAGTCGGTCATAAACGCAGGGTTAAGATTGGCCAAGCACATATTTATTCCCTGGTTTATTACTTGTTGAAAAAAAAGACTTGCTGAAAAGCTCAAGGCGCAATCATTTCAAAACCTGCTTACTAACGATTTAAACATTTAAACATAGTCAAAAGTTAATTTTGTAAAACGGCTCACAATCAAAGCTTGCACGATTCTTTTTAAATTAACAAACACATTTATCTCGCCAAACCATTTGTGTTAAAAACATGACGTGGCGAACATAATAACTACAACAAATATAAAATCAACCAGCCTATTCTGTGACAAGTGTTGTCAGCTTTCAGGTAGGCTAGTACATGATATTGTAGTAGTTTTTCCTGATTCTTGGCCGTTTTTCAACTTCTCACAAAACACGCGAGTACTCAAAATACTCGATTTTCTTTTGGTCACAATGTGTTCGTGAACAACTAATAACTTAAAGACTGCATGGTTGGCCTGACTTCTGACTTTTCATGGTGTCCTTCCAAAACACCGGTCAACTTTCGCCAAGCATGCAAATCGCTTCCGTGCTAACCTCCCTCGGCTGCTAATAATCTGGATCCTCGCAGTCATCCGGATGAATTTTCAAGATCCCCTCCGCGTGCTGCTGCCAGAGTATCTGGAACTCGTTGTTAAACTTGTGGGAGTTGCTCTTCACCATCTCGTCGAAGAAGTGATACTTGAGGGTTTTAGGGATGGGGTACCAAGTCCTGTTGAAGGCCCAGAAGCCGTACAGGTGGACCTCTTTGCACAGGGTTAGTGCTGTTTGTGCCAGATAAAATCCTGCGAAGAAAACAACTCTCGCTCCTGACTAGTTTATTCCTTGCTGTATAGCTTTGTCACCAGTGACTACTTTGTTTCCATTAAAACGCATAAGATGCTAGAGCAATTTAAACACGGGGCATACTGCAGCCCAGCAGTCACGGTCAACAGAATCCCGGCGTGAAGGGGTTAATCCCTCCCGTTTAAACATTCCCCTTTGCTGTTTCTCAGTGGTGTCATTTACATATATGAGCCATCATGCCCTTGAGCTAAAGAATCTCAAATGGCGGTCGCTGTCAACAGATTTTGGAAACAAACCTGAATTAATTTTTTAGCGACGATTCAGACATGTTCGTTTGAAACTTGTGTGGGATCACGTCTTTTTCTGGCAGAAGCAGCAAGCACCAGAGCTTTATGAAGTACCCCTCACCTGTCGACATGTAGGCAATTCCAGCAGGCCTCCACATCTCCAGAATTCCTAGCAAGTGTTTGGGGTTCCCGATCGTTACTGACGCCAATCTGCTGTGCTTGTGTCCCTCAAGTATGGCCGGTAAGAGCTTAGAGATGCAGGTCTTCAAGACAGCGCCTTGGATCATGCAGGGAAGGAACAGATGACCCCTGTACTCATGCAAGTCTTCCTGGAATCTTTTGACATCGCCGGCAAAACGAAAACCGTTGTATCTGCGGAGAGAGAGACTAACCACCTGAGATGGATCCTGAGTAAACACGTGGAGGAATGGTTGTGGAAAATAAAATGAGGATTTTCGAAATCGCATCCACATCTGGATAAAGCTCACGCTTAAACACCGTTGGAAGTCGGATAGAAAAAAATGGCCGAATTCATTTTTAAAAAAATTAATTCCCTTAATCGACTCAGAACATTCGATTTTTACATTCTGCCTCGCTTGTGATTAAACAGAAGACATACTTTGTTTAGAAACAGAACGTGACATCAATCTTTCCGAACAGTTCTCACTTCTCCAACTAAACTTAGTTTTACTCCCCCGAGGGATGAAATAAGATTTGTGGGATTTCCACTATGGTTGCATTGACCGCCAATATCCATAAAGCAAACTTTTCTTTTTAACTGAACGTTCATCGTCGCTCCATTACACAAAAACAAAACGATGGTTGTTGACCAAAAATGGATTGGGATACGCCAGGGGATAAAAGACACAAGATCAACATTGACGCAAAATTAGTCTAGGCCCTACACCTATTGCCTCACACACCCACAACTGCCCTCCCCGACCGCACCAAGTTCTCCTTACTCATTCAACCCCAAAGAGGTACAGTGGGAGAATGTGTCAGGCAGAAAGAGGGGCAACCAATGAACAAAAACAGTCCCGTGCACCATCCGATGAGGGAGAGGTCATGTGCTCCTGAGACTTATAACATCTGTCTAAAGGTAAACGAGTGAAAAACTCACTCTTTGAAAAAGTGAGTCCCTTATAAAACTGCTCCAAAAGAGTAAAAAAGAATGTTAAAGTAAGTGAAAACTACTCAAAAATGTGAAAATAACTCTAAAAGTGAAGCCATGTAAAGGGACAACCCTTTCTGGGTTGTCCTTTGTAAGGTTTCTTGATAGAATTTCATTCATTTTGAGTAGTTTTTCACTTATTATTGTGTGGTTTTCTCTTTTTTGGATTGGTTTATAATGGACTTGTTCTTTTTGAGCGTGTGTTTTTCACTATTTCGTCTTCAGAGAGAAAAACAATAAATAGCTATCTTAATCGATTTTCAACCATCAGTTAATATCGAAAGTCCCACCTTGTGGCCATAATACTGGGATTCATCGTGGTGAGATTGGTTTTGAATCCAGCATCGACTCCAAATTTCCGTATTGGCACCAGATTACACCTGTCAACATTACATTGCACGCCAAAGAACAAACGGATATTGATCAATATCGTAATGTTATCCAGCGCATACACCAAACCATTATATCCAAAGATACATGTAGGTAACATCTTCACTTTGAGAAATTGAAGGAAGATTCCAAGACAAATTTCATGAAACATACTACTTGATAGCTACACATGTATTGTGATTAAACATACCTTAATGCTTTAAGCCAGATTGTTAAAAATTACAAAACTCTCCGGTCATTAAATAGTCTTGTTACCATCCAAAATGGCTTGCTCGTGCATATGGTCTGTTGAATTCACATCATGAAATGTTGAGATTCGAAATATCGTGAGTTCAAGATATCTGAATGTGCGTTCGTTCTTAACCTGTATTTTTATAAGCATGTTCAGCGTTGTGTTAGAACTATGGAGACAAGTGCAGACGCTTGCTCGGGTGGGACTCGAACCCGTGTGTTAACGGCAAAGGGAAAATAAAATATCCAAATTTTAATCTTGCAGACACAAAAACACAAAACGTCATTTGGGATATTTACAGAGTCATTGCTTATAACGGCATTTAGTTTACAGTCTCTAGTGGGATTTTAGAACTTCAATAAAGGCGCATCTCACCTCAGTACGTAATCCGCCGAATCAATTTCTTTCCCGCAAGCACTTCGCAAGAGAATACCCCCGTTTCCAACCACACTGCATTTATTAAGAAGGGTGCCTTTAGGAAATATAGGCCCCTGGATGAAAGGGGGAAATGGAACGTACACACATCTTCGAAGAACTGGCAACAATTACAAGGCAATTGGAAATGATGAAAACTGAGACTTGGATGTCATTCTTACTCTTAGGTGAGCGGGAGTACACGTATGTAGAGACACAACCTCAACAGTCTACGTGGGTGGGAAACGAGATTGTGGCATATTGAGCCAGTTTGGTATTCCAAGAGCGCATACCAATGATGAAGCATGTCCAAGGTCACTCGAGAACTTCAGGGTGGGCGCGTCACTCCATTCCATGTCGATGCACATAGCCCCTACGTGTACATTTGCATGTTCATGTACAAGTACGACGTTTTTGCTCAGGGCGGTGAAACAAACGGTATACAACGGCCAGAATTTTAACTATACATGTATAAGAGACCATCTGTACTGAAGATGTCACATTATTTTGGTTCACATGTGCATTAACCTATGGTGGTGGTGGCCCACGGTCCACTGAGTACCTTAGGAAAGCACACATGGAAACAAAGTCGTCTGTAGAGTCCCATTTCTTTCTCCAATCATCAGGTTTCAATTCGAGACATTTCCCAGGATCAAGTTTACTTTGACTCTTCATACAACAAGAAATGGGAGCTGGTATAGCGAGTCCTTATGTATGTCCATCAAATTGCACTCTGGAATCTGCAGACAAATTCCTCGAGTGGTGTGAAGCAAATAAGGTAACACTTTTTTGAATTAAACACACACAGACATGTTAACTAAACAGGAATTCATTTTTAGAACACAATTTGATATGGCTAATTTTGTTACTCACTGTTTATTTTTCCGACGAACCTGTGGCCACTAAAGCGCCAATGTCGAAAAGTCTACGCACAGCGAGAAAAACCATCGTTTGCTCTAACTGGTTCTTGTCTGTAACCAGTTTTGTGATAATCAACTAATCTGGACGAAAAAGTTGCCGGCCTCGGTTCGGAAGTGAATTTAGTTTGTTGGTTTTAATTTTACTATTTTCCCTTAAATTCCATCATACATTTCATTGCCTCCTTTCATTTAAAACTAACAAAGCACCATGCTCCAATAAATTTAAAAAAAAAGTATGGCCTAAAGATCTACGGGAAAAAAATTGAAAAGTAAGTACATAAAAAGAAGAAGATTGCCAAAATCGTCTTACCTTGGGCAAAAACTTCAGAAGGTCTGGCTTGGGTTTGTAAAGGATACCATGAAAACCCAAGTTTTTAGCATAAAATGGCAACGGTGTTGCCGAATTCGTGTTTTGCTGTGTCAGAACAAATTGGTCAATAGTGGCGGAATCTGAAGACTCGAATATTTCTCTCCTGCATGACAACATAAGGGAAAAGGCAAGCGTAAGCCTGAATGTATTGAATGCATTTGTTATTAGAATTTTTCCTGGTGTAATGCAAAAGTTTAATGACACGAGATATTTGGGATTCAATCATTCTTTCCGTGGAGGGCGCTGTATGTAATACACATGCAAAGCTGCTTAATTTAAAGAGCGTATCGCCAACTTGAGACTCTGGAACCAAAATGGCTGTTTATGTATAGTGCAGCATGCAGCTATTGCGCGCTACTTTGTCATGTGCAGTGACGCACAATCCACCATTTTCGTTCCAACAACCATTATAAACATCACTGTGCGCACCCAAACACGCATACAATTTGGAAGAGGCGTTTTGTCTCTTTCGTACTTAGGCAGAGGAACCACTGGCGTAAAAGAAATATTGTGATAGGGTACATGTTTAATACGTAACCATGAAAGCTGTGCAAAAAGCTATGCATTGAAAACAGAAGAAAATTAATGTGACAATGGTATTTCACAAGAAATGTTTCGGCCGTAGGGCGTTCGATCTAGTAAGATTATAATGTGCATTCTCACTGCTATAAGAAGTGTTTGGCCGCAGTGGTCGGATCAAGAATCAAGTGACCATGGTAATGACTATCGTACAGTCGACAGTCGTTCTGTACAAAATCCAACACAAGGCTTTCTGCCACTTTGAGAGGGCCATGCATGGAGAAAGTCCGTTGCAACGTCGCTGAATTCGTGGTTAACTTAGCGCTCGAACTTTCCCATCGCTGGCCGTGAAACATTTTTTGGACGCCAGATTGCCCCCGGGTTGCATTGTACGCACTGACCTGATTTTGTCTACACGGCGCGGTCGAAGTTTCCACTTGGGCAGAATGTACTTCTGGTACATGAACAATGTCTCGTCTTGGAAAGAAGAAAATGTTTTAATCACCGACGCGATAGCTGATGTGGGCGTCGTAGGCAAGGTCGCATTCACCAGCGCAGGCAAGCTGTTATGGAAAGCACACCATTAGGGAGACATGTGCATTCATTCCAGGACAACATTTTTCTGGTTTCAGGAATGGAATACGGCTTTTAGACAAGACATTCTCATTGACGTCACTGCACCAACCACAGGACCAAGGAATACAGCAATGCATTGATGTAGTGCATATATTTGTGCTGCTCCTAGGCTTTGGAACAACCTCCCCTTAATGTAAGAAATGCTAAATCTGTCCACACATTCAAGATTGTTCTAAAAACCCATCTCTTTCATGAAGCTTTTTCCAACACCGGATTTTCATCTCTGCTAGTGATCGGTATTGTTATGTGCAGTTGAGTATATTTGTATAGATCTGTGCAATATAAATGTTCCTTAGGCCTATTATTCTTATTATTATGTGAAACATTTCGTTTTCATTAAACATAAAAGCAAATACGTTTTGACATTTTACAGCAAGCAAAGTAAGGGCATAGGGTATTTTGACTTGTGACGTTAAAAAGTTGACCAAATATTATTAAAATTATTGCAAGACAACAGAGTCAAACAAAGCAATACCGTCGTCATAGTAATACCTGTCAACAAACGCTGGCCGTTGTTCCGCTTTTGCCTTTACCATGGAGACGAGGGCATCACGCAGTGTAGGATTCTCGCGGTGTGCGACCATTAGCATGATTAATGCCAGACCAGCCCAGGTTAGAATCCGCAAGGATACCAGAATGGCGTGGAAGCGCATGGTTACCAGGGGTCACACCTGTGGTGTAATAAAAAGCAATCTCAATATTAGTAATAGGGCCTACTACACGTTGTGAAATACGCGCAGGCATATTCCATCATGTCTGTTGGTGTTTTGACTCTGCTGAAGAACGCGAAATTTCGGTTCAGGCCGACATGTTTCAAAGATAGGACTAAGTTTTCCTGTCTTGTTAGGCGAAAGCATGTTAATTTGAAATTGGTCCAAATGCCGAAAGGAGTGCCTGTGTTAAGGAAGTTAAAATAAAACTGAAATTACAAGTCATGTTCCTGCAGAGAGTGACAATGATCCAAATATTGCAGACGCAAATCCTGTTGTAAGTATTTATTCACCACAAAACAGCTACAGTGCAGTTGCAGGCCAGAATATATGCGAGAATGAAAACATACAGAGGAGACAATATGCATTGTAGGCCTATATAATGATAAAACTTCGATTACCGCATACTATGGCTTACAAATGTACCGACCACACTGCCGTTCAGACCGCAATGTGTTGAGCGCAATGATAAGATCGCCGCACTGTGAACCATTGGCTCAGCGTAGGGAGAATGCACGCATAGCTCGTGAGAACAAACCAATTAACTTAGTCCACTCAGTATTTCAGACCCCATACGTCAACAACGTCCCGAATACGTCGATTTTCAAGAAAAACGTGACACCTTTTTCTTGCGCTTAATAAGTTTCTTACACAGGATACCAGCACCCATAATATTGTTTTAATCAAGAACAGTGCTGCCCCCTGTGTGAGGTGTAATACTGTACAAATGAACAAGTTTGAAGTTCTGGTAGAGCCTTACAAACACAGGGGTTGTGTATGTCATCACATACATGATCCAAAGTAAAATACTTGCTTTGAAGCAGCTTCAGTCAGTGTAGCAGCAACTGCCTCAGTGAGTTTCGGCTACGATCGAGCCATCCAGGCTGAATTCTGCTTGCTCATTCAGCGCTCGGTTTTACCGATTCCCCTGTCGCACAATTACCAGCGCTATAGTGTGTACCCTGAGTTAGTTCGAATTCTGTGTTTCATCAGATCGTATAGCCACAGTATAGTGCACATGACCTGGGCATTCTGCATAGCTAATCGAAGCTTAATATTTGTCATACTTGGCAGAGCCTGTGCCCAACACGTCTGCAAAACGGACCCCCCCCGTCTCATTATTAATCTGCATTTATAACCAGGAAAACTGATTTTTACAGTAGAAATTATCAACTGTGGCAACACGCACTTTCTTGGAGTGACAAAAATATTCACTGTAAAGGGTTGATCAACGTTTGGGTTGCTATTTTGCCCAATGCTGGTGCAAATATCAACTTCCCAACTTTGGGCAAACTCTTCCCAATCGTTGGTCAATGTTTGACCAACAGTGATGGAAATTAAACCAACAATGTGGTAACTTTAAGCAAGGTTGGGCAATGTTGGGGGTGTTTTTAAACCAAATTTATCGATCAGTACATTTTCTGACGCAGGGCACGAAGTCAATGCTATTGAAACATAATATTGGATTTATGATAAAACTTTTCATTTTTTTCATTATTTTTGCCCAATTTCCTGAAGATCCAGCAACAAAGACGACGACGCCTCATTTTGGCATCAAAGCGCATGTCATATTAACACCACCTGCGATGCTATTGGTAAGCACAAATCTTGCGTGTGCGCACTTTGGTAATGAACATCATGAACATAGTTGCGTACCTCGGGCATAATAGTTGCGTAGCAACCCTAACTCACTCCTTGGCCGATCTTTTATGGTTTGGGGTTCCATGGTAACGGGTACGTATATTGTCATCAGACTGCATTATAACCAAACAGTGGTTGCAGGTAGGCCTTTTTAGTAATGTCTAATATATCAGGGGCATTGGTGTCGACGACCAGACCGGTTTGTATGTAATAATTTCGGGTTCTGAACTGTTGAGCTTTTGGGCACAACGCAGTGGCCTCTCATCGAAATGATGATCCATTTTTGATCGTGTTCCCACAGTCTATTTTATTCAGTGTAATATGTTAAATGGGTTGTTGTTGAGCTACTACTTTTGGATCCTTGCCTCACTTTTAATTTTCTTTTTGTGAAAACATTTAGACATAATAATTAAACATTTAGAAATAGTCAACAATTTGACATCATTCATCAGCACGAACGAGAATAATTTCTACTGAAGTTTTATTTTATTGATTTCAGTTTTAAGTCAGCCTCGCTTTTAATTCAGCATGATCAACTTGTGAAGAAGGCCGTCTGAGGCCAATGGAAAGCCGTGTCTGAAACGGGCTTCCAGAGCTACGGCTAGGTCTGGTGTCTGCGTGTCTCCACGTATTTCCAATAGAGTCCTAGACCTAGCTCTAAACAACAGATTCGGATGCAGTCTAACAAAAAATTCATCATCAGTGCTGCCCTCAACGTGTTGCATTTGACAGACCGGTGGTGGTGGCGCACTAGCCTCCTAGCCGGAGCTTTTGGAGGGAAAATTGTTTTGAGTGGTTATAGAGAATTAAGTGGAGCATGTGACACACTTTATGTCGGTGCATAGAACAGGGAGTATTACAAATATTGCAAATATTTGTAGCTTTTGAACTTCTTCTAGTTATCAGGAAATATTGTCACCCCCACCCAAAGAGAAATTCTTCAAAACTCCTACAGGCGCCTTTCCAAATGCACGTCAACAACACATGCACTAAGCGTTGCATATCTGTCAAAATCGCTCCTGATACGATTTTGACGGTCGGAACGCAACGTGCACGTGGTTATGTCAATGGAGCCGATTTGGATGTCCGTGAAATTGAAACGCATGAACGTATCGTGTACGCAACGCACCAAAAAACGTACATAAGCATGGAAACGATGACCCGGTTATTCAAACGATGTGTCTAGCTTAACGCACGCGCCTCATCAATGAAATGTTCGGATGTTGGAACTTTTTGCCTTCTGAACCATTCAGTATCAGAAATATGCCGGCAGTTGCTCATATCCAATCTTCCGTTTTATGTTACATTTTTGCAGCAAATGATTGAAGTATAAATGCTGTGACGCCTCATGCTGACACTTTAGGCTGGGATCCTAACCATTCTCCACGTAGTACACAGTATAAAAATGATCAGTCCTTGAGAATGCGATATAGGGATAATTAAAATGTTAACTCTCTTCTAAGCTTTGGGTTCTTTCATACTTTGGGAATACATACACACCAGATATCGGGGTTGAAGAAACAAAATCGTACTCACCGGTGCAGCTGACAGCACCGTACGACTTCAAAAGCCTATGAAAATGAGGGCGTGATGTTCTTTTTCTTGTCCAAATATAACAGTTATGTTTCCATTTCCTTCCATGGCATTCAGTGGTCAAATCAACAACGCAAGGACCACCACGTGAAGAGGCTTTCAACCGGTCAGGGCCCGCCAAGTGCAGGTTAGAGTAGCCATGGAGTTCGATTCTTATTTTTTTCTTGTCACCAGGCAACGGTAAACAATCAAGAGATGGTGTCAAAGTAACCTGCAAGAGGAGTTTCTATAGCCGAAGAGTCTGAGGAGGAGTCATTGAGCTGGGCTCGTCTTGAGCCCCAGATCTTGCAAGAAAGAAGGCAAGACCAACGTATTATGCTTGCTACTTGTCCAAGTTCAGCCGCGTTGAGCCGTCTCTAGAGTTTACGCTGGCCCAACTTGAACTGGCCACCTGGCTTGAGGCCAAACATTCTAGACAGCGTTTCGGAACTATTTATTTGATCTAGAGAGAATGTGAGTGGGTAAAGACGTGACGCTATTAATAGTTACTGTATCAATTAAGTGGTGAATGACCCGTGGTGAGAAATAACTTAATTTCAGTGTACCGTCGAAGTTAGGACTCCAGATTCCTGTTTGTCTAGTCCGAAGACGTATGTGCACAGACGAGACCTGGTTTACGTTTCAAATGGGAAGGACCTCTCGCTGTCAGGTGAGCGATGTTCTTTAGAGAAATAATAAGTGCCCAGTCCATTCCCGCTCAGTGCGATATCATCCAGTCAGACAACGGCTTGATTCCGTGGTCTTCCACCCAAGTTTTGATATAGCCTACTTCCAATTAACCAGTCTTACCAACCTGTCATTATTGCTAGAGCTGGAGTACCTAAGTAAGGGTTTGGGAATTATATTTGGAACACACTTCAATAATTCCTGGTTATGTAAATCGCTGGTTCAGTGGAAACCTAAAACCAAAAGAAGTGTTTCGTAAGTGAAAAAAACCCCGTTATCAGCATTATTCAACAGATTGAAAAACAAAATGTACAAGGCAAAAGGATGGAATTTAAGTACGATTTAAGATGTAATTCACTCTCCGGTGAAGCTTCGTTGGGTCTCTCCACAACTTTTGTGCCGTCTTGAGTGTGACATGGGGCTTTTGTACAACTGCGCCCTTATTCTGGATAGGGAAACAACAGAGAGGGCGCTCTTAATCATTACCGGTACTGTGCCACTGTCGAAGTGGTAAAGGCCAGATTGAACAGCGAAAATCGCTTATCGGTAAAATCATTGCCCCAAACAAATACGGGCAGATGATGACTTGAACAAAGTCGATTATCAAGAGAACACACGCAACGAGTAGCGTAGTTCAAAGGAAGACGGCACAATAGGCATTTTTTTAAACCAAAAAAAAAAAGGAAAAGGAAGAAAGATCCTAAAGCCTTCTTCTGGTCAAGTAGGGAAATATGACGTCACTATTCTACCTAACTTGAAACGAGCCGGGGCAGTCTTCACAGCGTGTTTTTCTGATTTTGCAGCAGTGTGTCTTTTGCGATCCGAGCCTTTTAGATTCTTTGTAGATACCTTTTGGCGGTCATTTTGACACCATTTTTGTGAAAATGCAACCAACCTTTCTCGCCCAGCACCAATTTTTCCGAGACAAGTCAGCAAAATGTATACTCTTCCACTGCATGCCGTGCTCAATGTAAGCTGGTTGGCACTTACGTGGCCACCAACTTCAAATGACCGTTACAACAAAAACAATATATCAGATTGAATTGAAACACCACACATTAATTTGTACTGACAAGGGGTTTCTCTACATTCATGCCAAAAAATTGGGCATGTGACAAGACATAAACCCAGCTCTTTATGGATAAAGGATCAAGACAACATTAAATTTCAAGGACATGATTCTGTACATCAATATTATCTAGGAAGTATATCCCTCGTCACTAAAGAATCAGCTCCACAGCATGATGATCACAACAAAAATATCATCTCTATAAGAGTAACCCCCAAGTCATGACGGCTTTACCTCCATTGTTCCTCTTGTTGACTTGATTATATTCTCCGAGTGTCTTGTAAGCATGGAACGCTGCTTAACAATTATTGCGTCGTTGATGATCTCTCTTGAATCAAGAGTACAATTCATATAGATGCATTTAATCAGTTACATCAATTAAAAGGCGCTCAAAATAAATTGGATCCGTACGGTTTCAGGTAAAACACCGACGACGTGGCGATATGGCTTTAATGCGAACGCTGTGCGTAATTTGAGACGGTTACTTAGTTACCTGATTAGATGCGTTTGGGTCGAACTTTCGGTTTCTGTGTTCCGTCATTTGAGCTATGTCTTCTGCGTGTGCACATTACAAGAGTTGCAGGTGAAGAGATACGTGGTACTCAACTTGTTTATTTTTCAATGCCTTACAAAAAGTTGAAATACTTTTATCGAAAAGTGAACTTAATGCACACACGCTGACGTTTCACGCCTGTTGTCTTGAAATTTCACTGACCGCAGCGACAAAACACGAAGTCAGACTGATTTGAAATTTCACATTTCAAATGTGAAAATGAGTAGCTTTGCATGCGTGCATATGTTTTAAGAAATTGGGTCCGGAACAGCTGAGTACGGGGGGGGGTTGTAAGATTGCCTTTTAGAAGTTGAAACTCTGCAGTCGTGTACATGTATTATGCACGAGTGTTTCCCTGTTTTTTGCCGAGATCCATTGTGATCCATCACTACATCGCTGAAATCAAAGAAGCAAACAGCCTTGATGTAAGATGTTCAAGATGCTCTTTTTTTTTCTTTTACAATTTCAGGACGACTACCACACTAGTCGAAAACAAAGCTATCATCAGCACTATTACTACCACCACAATGTTAAGGATAACCTTCATCACTACTTTCGAGAAGATAGTCAAAAATAATTGCCTTTAATTTGTTTCCTGGTCGAGCAAGACTGAATCTCCAAAGCATAAATTGGGATAAGACACATGTGGTCTCTAATCTTGGAGTAAAATGGTGCTCCATTTGGCTATATACCACCATTGTTAGTCTCTTTAAATGGCATTGTAATGGGACAAAAGATGGATAGCCTCCATTATCTCTCTAAAAGCTTTTAGAAACCGCCGCCAGCATCAACATCATTGCGTCTTCATTAATACAGCGATAGTTACGTCCAGCATGGTTCTGCGTAAAAAGCATCTGGCGTATAGACTGTCTGGATCAGAAACGTCAAATGCGGTTGTTAAAAATGGTGAAATTGCTACGATCCACACTACTGCAATTTTTATTATTATTCAAGTTGTTCTCTTATATCTGTATATAATGACATTCCCGTGCTCAATGACACAATTTATTACGTGTACAACATTTTACTTGCCTGACACTAGCCTTGGGAATGTACCCTTTTCTATTTGTAAAGTTATTAAGTGAACACTCATGCATTTTCTTTAACATAAAATCAGATGATGCCATTTTATTTTGTAATTATTATGTGCAGGTAAACAAGACCCTGGCAGTGTGCATGAAAAAGGCTGTCACCCGGCAGCCTTTCTTGCTATTCCTTGGCAGCAAGACTGATGTACAGCAACTGTTTCTTCAAGTTGAAGATTTCAAACATCCGGCATTGTAAATGTGTGTGTTCAACTTGGCATATCCTGCACCAGTGCGCAACTGGTACTTGTACCTTCTGACACAGATCTTTGGACTAGATATGCAGGGTTGTCAAATGTCACCTAGAGTCAGAGAACTTGCTCCAGCAGTGCAGGCTACTTCTTAGAATCTGGAGCACTTGTAATCATAAATCATTCACACTTTCATCTACCATCATTTGAAAAAACAGAACCCTTAACTCTTCATTGTTACCCAACTAATGCTGTAAAAATTTATCTGATGGGACCCTCCACAAATTGCCTTATATTTCACTGGTCATGTGTTGTTATTCAAAATGACTGTCAAATCTATCTGATGAGATGTTGTTGCGATGGACATATCGTACTAATCATGTGAGTGGGGGTGGTTAAAACTTGTTAATTACTGTAACTTCATTGTTCAATTTCATTCATGGTTGAAAAATATATCTGATCGGATACTTGATTATTAGAATTTAGTGTTGTTGTAGGCCTATATCATCATTTTAATATGTGATTATCATTATTTTCTAATGCACATCTGATCTGAACTGAAATAAGTACTAAAAGTTTATACTTGTTACAGTTGTTTTTCCTTTGGACAAAAATATTGTGTTGTTAGAGTTGATATAAATGCACATGTCTGTGTTTGAACATGCCTTACCCACAAAAAACACTCTGTATTTCTCTGAAATTCAAAGATAAAAGAGCAGGTTTATATCAGAAAAATGTGTCATATTTGCCCCTTCTGTACTGCAGGAGTGCAACAGCGACAAGGTGTTTTGTGTGGTGCACTGCACGTGCTGGGTGGAGGCTAAAGTAACACTATGAGTGCCGTTTACCAGCCTATACAAGGAGTTGTTTTAGCACTCAAAGTGTACCTTTTTGGATGTTTTATGTGTATTCCTTAGCACTAATAGAGCAAAAGAGCAAAACACTTAAAGTGTTTTTCCAAGCACCCGGACTGGTGCTAACCCATTACACTTAAACAAGTGCTAATTTAGCACAAATTGTGCAGTCCCTATGCGAGCACTAACAAGCATTATCGCCATATCGCCAGGTGCTAGAAATAGCACTTCATTTTTAGACTGTACACTGACATCCATAATGATGGCTCTACATTGGCCCATGCACTTACAAGTCAGGTCATCTATTTCCAACCTTTGTGTCATTATGACTTCAAGTGTGCAAGAATTTGCTAAGGAAAATCCGCCTTCTTTGGAGGCTGCAAAAGACAAATTTATCAAAACAAAAATGAAAATTGAAAACATAAGAGATCCAGAAGAGTAGATGAGGCCATGGAGCATTCTTTATAATGATCACTTTATGGTCGAGAATGCCAACCGGACAGGTGCATTATAACTGACAGGCAAATTGATCTCCAGAGCATTAAAAAGATCCGTGACAATTTATGAGGCACGGCAATCAAATTGAATGGAACCCTTTACCAACGAATTCTCAACCAAGCGTTATTTTTGAAATGGCTCTCGACTTCGCCAGAGCTCATTCTTACATTTTGACCAGTGCCAGAATCAACCCACTGATTACTTTATGGTCTGAATATTGAGGAAAACGGACAGGATAGGCGGTCTTATACGATATGACCTCAACAATGAACAAATTTGCTGATCACTGTATTTTAATTTCGTGAGTGGCACATAATATCCTGTTAAATCCTCCCCCTATGTATACCTTTTCAGGATAATAACTACACTGCGCGACTCTCCGCTCTGATTGTGTTTGGCAAACTAAGTACCAATGGGGGAGACATTTCTAGACATGAAAAAGGGTAGAGTACACAATCGCTTAATCATCCTTTTTGCTTTTGGAAAATGAAAAGCCATGAAATAGTGAGAATCCTGACAGAGAGAACTTACAGTCATTTCATCGACTATAATTTCTGGGCAAACCATGCGTGCACACATGCAATCGAGTCGTGGCGTTGCCATGGAGTTGTTTATATAATTCCTCCAATAATTATAAAATTCATGAAATCCAAGAAATGACATGCAACGAACCAGTTTCCAAGCATGGAACGACATGGTACAAGAGAAGTATCATGTCGATATAAAGAAAAGAATAAACATGCATTTTGTTGTTTTTTATGTGAGCTGGAAGTACACTTTCAGTCCGATAGTTTATTTGATTTGGTTATAAGGAAAGTTTAATTCACTTCTCCAGGCATATTCTCCTTGGTAGCCTTCTGCCGCGATGAACGACCTTTTTCTAGAATGACGCCACCTTATGAAGCTTTAGAGAGTATAATGGCAAGAGCTTAATTACGGTAAATAACGCAATATAACCTAAGCTAGCCACAATAAGAGAGATTTGAATCAGACAGTAATTCAAGCTCATAGTGAAGCGTGGAGAGAACATCCGCTTAATGGGGTTATAATTGGTGGATCTATCCTTGGACGTCGAGGCATCCGCCTCTCATGTATAGAGCTGTATTTTGAGAATAAAGGGGTGTTATTGGCCAAAAACTGAAAAAAAGGCTTAAAATGCTTTTGGGGGCAAAAAAATTATACTCTTTAAGAGAACCCAGGAACACATCAATTTTACCTAATTTGAGTGTGTGAATCAAACTAGAACTGTGACCAAGCTGTGTTTTTAAACATTTATGTGGTATATGACTAAAAACATCTTTTAAAGTGGTTTGAAATGGTAGTTTTGGCACTAAAATGTAGCTTCAGTTAAAGTTTGGTAGGATACATTTCATCAAATTCGGGCTTGCTATTACCTGTTTACCCATACAGACAAAAAAGCAAAACGTGGGGTCAAAAACGGGTTTAACCACAAAAAGTACTGAATATAAATCCAGTGCTGATGAACTATTCACCATGTTCCTCAGGAGAAATATATACTTGGGTCTGTGCACTGAAAATAAAAACTATTTTTGAACCATGCAGAAGTTTACATATCTGGTATAGGCCAAATTACTTCATTGCCAGTGGTGTTGTTTCTGCTATACAATTGTAATTGCAACCACGTACATGCACACATGAAGGCCTTAAGCACTGAGGTTGTATGAATATCCGACTATACAATGTACGTAACCACCCGCTGGTGTGTTAGAACATCGAGGAAGAAACAGTTGCATGGAAAAAAAAATGTACACAGCACAGCTAACCTTGGGCACATAAAACAAAAAAGCCTGCAATATACACGCACATGCACTTGGCCCACAAGTATTGCATGGCTGAGGTAGTCTATAGCACCGGTATATACCTCAAACTCCAATGAACAATGATGATAACTCGCCAGGAAATTCCAGTACAGTCGAGGTACGTGTGGCACTGTGTGTCAGACATGCCATACCATGTGCACCAGGACACACACACAGATCATAAAATTCCCCCCAGAATATGTTATTAACGTTCTCCTGCTCATGCACGGCACATGTCCCCAGTTGACATCATTGTAAGTCTGGTGCCTAATATCTTGTCTTTGAGTATATGTTTCTACCTAAAACCGTGAAGCATTGCGCAGGAAGTACACCTACAAATCTTACGATTTAGAGAAGTTTTTCATTAGTTCACGATGTCGCCTGCTGTTTTTCTAGCCAAATTTGGAGGCTGAGTTTCAAGGTGAAGAACTAAAAAATTCGCTTCGTAACACTTGTTTTTGAATTCGGGGCATTATGATTGAGTATAAAAAGTATGTTACACATTTTTATGAAACAAATCATGTATGGAAACTGACTAGATGCTTATGTATAATAGTCCCAGAAAAACCAAACCCTGAGGAAAGGGGTTAATTTGTGCCCAAACCATGAGATATGGTCATAATGTATGTGGATCTCCTAAAAGTACAAGCAGTATTCTTTTTAATGATACGTGTCATGCATGACTGAACACCATTGTCTTGAAAATGGGGCATCCGAACTCAGTTGTAACACTTTGGATAAACCAGTGAATGAGGTTGTCCTCTGTCATGTTTGTCCTTGATGAGACCAATTATTCACTCATTACGTAATTCACAGTTACTTGTGCACCGACACCTTCCGCGTGTCCAAGTCCATTCCTCCTGCAACTGGTTCGTTCCCCTTGGCTGTTCGACAAGTTGCTGTCGAACTGCAGCAACGTTTTTCAGGAGTTTGCACTGTGCGCCTCCTTCCCGAATGATCCTTATTCAAATTAAGGCTTGTCCCATGTTCTTGATATTTGCGCACATTTTCCAAGATTGACTTTGCCGGTGGATCCCTATAAGGGAAGGCTTCCCTAAATGCAATCTTTCCTCATTAACATAACCTTTTGTTGTCACTTTAAACCAGGACAAGTATGACAGAGGACAACCTCATTCACTGGTTTATCAAAAGTTTTACAACAGAGTTCGGATGCCCCATTTTCAAGACAATGGTGTTTTTAGTTCTTCACCTTGAAGTAAGGTTTGAAAAATGCTGAACTACACTAATTTGTAGATTTGTTTTTTTTTTAAATTAAACAGTAACTTATAAATAAAGGTTTTTTTTACACTTTGCAAGATTGTGAAACCTGGAAGTCCTATTTTTTTAACGCTATTGCATTATACACAGGTTTTTTTTACTTCGTGAGATTACACGCGCAAGAAAAAAATTATATATTGTTACATTCAACATGCGCCCGGGCGCTAGGCGTTCACGTTCAATATCGTTCGCAAGCATGCACGCACTCACATCTTGATTCGACCAGAGCTGTGTTTAGTTTCTATTTTGCGCCTGGTACGGAAGAGGTCTTTATCACTCCGTGCGACAAAAAAACCTGGAGACCATGCTTTTTGTCAAATGTTTGTTTACAATAATTAAGACAGTAAGCAACATTTGCGGTAATACCAACCTGTTCCTTGATTCTAATTTACATAAATGGCCGCAAAAACTCCAAATCGGAATATATAGATTTTTCCAGGTTTTTGTCACTTTGTGGGATCATCGACAATATGTTATATGTATATCTGACCCATTACCTGTTACCCCGACACATTACCTGTTTATTTATTCATTAAAAAGAAATTGACAGCGCCAGCATTTTAGAAATGGAACTACCACCAGGCGGCGAGGAAGAAAAAATAGACGCTCATTTTCTTTGACAAAATGTTAATTCTGCACTCTCGATCTGGATACGCTATACTTGTACATCGGTTCCCAATATATTGGAGTCTTCCAATACAGTTTTGGTCATATACGAGACTGGCGCTTCTTATCAAATTGGACTTGTTGATAGTCAGCACTTGGCAAGCTAACCTCACGACTGAATTAATCACAACCAGCGCATGTGATAAACTATACTACCCGGCAGAGCCATGCTGCTTAATCATATTTCTCGCTGAAATGACACCACTCTTCAATTTTGCAAGTATACAGAAGACCTAGAATTGTATGCGGTTGTTTACACGCTCCTAGCAACAGTTGCACCAAGCGGCGGCTGCAAAATAACCCCCAACTTTGAGAGGTCTTTTGCCCTCCTATTGATTGTATCTCTTAATAAGCGAACACAATTTCCCCTAAGGAAATTGGACTTCTTTGATCTGAGGGGTTTTTGGCTACCGGTGTTGCACTTTGAAGACAGATACAGTTGCGATTCAATACGTTGTCCGTTTTTTTGTATGTTTATTTGTGAACATGCTGGTGTGGCTGATGCACTCCATTCTGAGCAGCAAGCAATCTGCAAAGAATGCTGAAAAATATTTTAAATTCACCAGCAGAAGTTTTTGGTTGGTTACAATTTTCAGTAAGTAATGTAGTGAAACTGTGAATGGCCCTAATAAAATATGCTGAATTGAAAATTCGGTTCCCACAACCTTACAACAGAAGTACATTAACAAAGTGGCCAGATAAAAAATCTCGATTACTTGATGGATATATAAATGAAAAACAAACTTGAGGGAAGGAACGCAAACAGTGCAAAAATCATTGAGTCGTATACTCTATATTATAGCAGGAAAACGGCGCTCTGTGACCGTCGTCTGTCAATTACCTGGGCAGGCCTTGGACACACGGATAGGCCTACTGACAAGAGGGAAGGTAAAGTAGATAGCTGTCAATTATGATAACCTTCGACAGTGGTGATCAACACTGATGTCACGCTGCTTAGGACTGAGAACACACGTCAAAAGGCTAAACGCTATAGATAGAGACAGATAGTGATAGTTATTGACGGATCTGGTATGAGAGAGATCTGGTTAAGCTTACATTCGTCAGTCTTCCGGAAAAACGTGGCACAGGGATATCATTTCAAGTAATTACCTTAGTTATTTTCCCAGCAGCAGACACGATCTTTTTTTCTGTTTGTTCGTTTGTTTGTTTTTAATTAATCAGAAGCAGAAATCGTAGGACTCTCATTAGTGCCTGGCTAGGTTTCGGGACATCATGGTCGATCAGATTTGCAAAAATAACCACAGTAGCAAGCGAAAGGACCTCAATGATTAATTAATGCCAGAAATTGAGGACTTGATAAGAACAGTCCAGATGGTATTGTGGTGAGAGGGCGGGACAGGACAGATCTGAACGAGAGACATGCTGCACACTGCACCATAGCGCATACCGTCGTAGCTAAATTGGTCAAGTGTTCCAACGTGAATTGAACGGACCATATGCTCGTGCACACGCACAACTTAAGCGAAGTGTGTGTTCGAGGAAAAAAGCGATATATGACCTATTGCACTTGACTGCCAGTATTCTGTGGAGATACTGGCATAGAAAAGGCGGCATCTCAAGGGATGCACTTCATCACGCATGCTCGGAACGGCCGCCCATCTAAATCAGACGGAGTTGCTGTGTCCCTGTTATTAGGAGTCTGAAGTTGAGTACAACGACAGCAAAGGTATGTAACGGCAGGTAGTCGTCGTCGCTCATAGTTTGTCCCAGACATTTTGCGTCGAAGCATGAAAAACCAAACAACTCCAGGGACCCCGGAGGACGGGCCGGCCAGCAGTCTCCTTGAACGGCAGATTTTGAGTGTGTTCCTGGCCCTGATCTTGGTTCTAGGCACAGTTGGCAACATGATCGTTATACTTGCGGTAATTCTGTCGCACAAGCTCCGTACCAAGACGAATCTGTTCGTGGTCAACCTAAGCATTGCCGACTTTCTGACTAGCGTTCACCTCGTCTGGATCATCGTGGCCTTCCTGAGCGAGGACGGCTGGCCGTTACCGGACGGTCTCTGCGTGTGGTGTGGGTTCGTCCTGATCACTTGCATCGGCGCAAGCGTCTATACCTTAGCCTGCATCGCAATCAATCGTCTCGTTTTGATCCGTTACGGCCCGGCAGCATATCGAGTTCTATGCCGACCAGTGATAATAGCTGCTATGCTGGCAACTATCTGGGCGATACCGCTGTGCATGGCCTCAATACCCATCGTCTCAGACTTCGGGGAGCTGGGTTACAGTAGCAGATTCAGGACTTGCATAAAAAACCACGCCCACCAGTATGCTAAGCAATACGACATTCTCTTGTCCCTTACTTACTACCCCGTCTCGACGGCAGTGATTATTATCAGTTACTTTAAAGTATTTCTTTACTTACGTTCCCGCGTCAAGAAACTCGCACCTGGTGTGGCCGAAGCCACGGTATCCTCGGTCGTACAAGAGAGTGATCTCCGAAGCCGGCCTGCCCAGCAGGACGCTCGGCCAAAGCTCCGCGAGAGACTGGACAAACGGCAGGTGCAGGTCACCAAAAACATGTTTTACGTCGTCTGTCTCTTCTTTCTGTGCACCACGCCGTACGGACTAGCCCTCCTGTGCAACCACCTGATTTGCCTGCGTCTGACTTCATACGCAGCTGTTGTGCTCTCTCTGAACAGTTGCATAAATCCCGTCGTCTACGCCACCAAACATCCCGACTTTAAGAAGGTGATTCAGTGTATTTTGCTCTGCCGGCCGAGGAAGATCCCTCAGCGAATTAAATTTTGTGGTGATACCTAGCACAGCACATGTATTTTGTGAAGAACGTACAGTCCAAAGTGCCGCCGAGCCTCGTCAACTCTTTCCAATTATCAATCAAGTAGACTGTAACTGATGGGTCTATATAAGTTGACAATTATCCAGCCCAGCGACCTGTCAAATGCATATCAGTCACCTTTACAGACCGTAGCTGTTGACACAAACACAATTTCACTTAACAATGCACAACTATCAGCAATTCTTAATGAACGACCGCATTCGTACTTAAATTTTGAACCACACTCCTCAAAATTAGTTCCGAAGTTAAATTCTATGACCTGAATTCTGTGTTGTTTGCTTCGAAGTGAACATAGCATCCAAGATGTTTGGCACAGCTTAATTGAATAGGAATTCTTTTTTTGATTTTTGTGGAATCTCCGAAAGAGCATTCGAAGTTGATATTCTTTTGAAAAAGGAAAACATCATTGAGTGCCAATGTAGCCAAAAGCTAACTTTGTTTAAAATCGAAATTGATAATTGTGCCTTCTAATTACAACGTGTGCCTTATTTTGAAACAAACCTGAAAAAGGATGATTGTCCGTGTTAAAGTGCTCACTTTACCGTTCAAATCTAGTTTATTGAGAAGAAAAAATTCTTAATTCGGGCATTATCGACAAAATTTATTGCTACCGGTTTATGACTAGACCCCACGAAATGAGATGTAGCCTAACGCCTTTCCCCCAGTAATTTTGGTTTAGTTTGCATTACACGTAAAAAGAGCAAAGGTGTACTCATTGTTTTAATCAACCACTATGGCATCATAATGAAAATGGATGTCATGAATAATGGGCAGGGCTCCCATTGCAATACCACTTTAAAGGTCTTTAACTCAAAAGTGGCTCTGGCGACTTGCAAATGGTGTCGTTAGGTTAGATCCCATTAATCTTGGTAAAGGAAATATCCGTTGACCTTTACTGCAACAGTTAACATTACGAACTTTTTAAGGGCCAATGAGCGCCAAAGATTGTTCCAGTCAACCGTAGGGAGCAAGGTTGTCGAGGCTTAGTCAGAGCACGAGGTCAGGAGCACTGAAGTGGTTATCCTTCTAGTTATTATCGGTGATGTAATTAAGGAGGAAGTGGCATTGGGGCCATGGGCCCCCACTCGAGGTGTGTGCCCCGTGTGCCCCCCGATGAGAAATTAGAGAAGGAAAAAAGAACTAAGTGCCCCCTTCAGAAAAGAGGGCCCCGAAAAGTGCCTTCTTGCCAAATGCTCCCACACTGTTATTGTTAATCAATAAAAATATGCTGTCCTACAGTAACGTTTCAATTGAATTTATCACTATTTAATTGCTGTGGCCAACCCCGAAATCGATGCACATTATTTTGACTTGATGCAGAGCAGCCTTGGTTAAGTATCTGCGAGACAGGAACACGTCAGACTTTGTCTAACACTAAGCATAATTAAAATGTCAGTAGTGTGTGTGTGTATACCCGCGTCGTTGAGTGCAGCCTTCCGAATACGACCTGACATTAAACATCACATTGCTTCCATAAACACGACATAAATTGCCTTTGCCAGGAAACGATATCTTTGTTAAGTGTACTACTTAAACTTTGTTGTGGTAAAAAACAGTTTGCGGTTTCCCTCTGTACATTCACACAGCCCCTGCCTGAATGTACCGATTGACATAGGCCTACGCGTATTTAGATTCTATGTGAATGAACAGACAATTTTGAACAGCGCGGTTACGCTGATTACTTTGATTAACACCTGACATGATTCTATATATATGTCGTCAGTTTAGGGAGCAGCGCCCGTTTTTGGATTCCTACCACACATAGTGATCCCCATTCGACTTTTCATGTGTTAAGGTTTCGAAGTTAGAGTAAAGCTTCGGCTGTTCGTTATCTGTGTAACTGGCACCGCCTTCAGTCCAAAAAAGGTCCTAGAAAGTTTACCAACGTGTTCCTTCTTTTCGATGAAACTCCAAACAACATTTTTGTTTCCTTTAAATATAAGAGATGAAAAAACGTTTAATCACAAAGTGAAATTTCCTTCAAGATTTGTGAAAAGATTTTATATATAGAGAAAGGAAATGCATGTAACTAATATAAGTAATAATCGTCTATGGTTGATGAATGGCTAGGCAGGTACACCAAAGCCGCAGTTTTCAGAATAAACTAACCTTTTGCAGCCCTTATACAACTAGCACATGATGAACTTTCTCTCGTTCTTTAACATGGCAGTTTTATCACCGAATTTATGACTTTTCATCAAAACACCCTACCAAACCGTACCTTCTTTTTCTCTTGTTCAGTGGCTGGCTCAGCAGACGATATAGAATAGAGCTGGGGGGTATATCAATTCCATGCCGCTGTTTGAGCGGAATCACACAGCCGGCAGACGCATACAATTTGACGAAAACAAGCTTGCATATATATACTCGGTTCAGTCTTTGTTCAATTTCTGGTACGTATTTAATACTCGCTCTCACGAAACTGCAGTATAAATGTTATTTTCCATCAGCCATACCGTACTGCGTTAAAAAATGTTTGGACAGGTCGCTCATTGCTGCTAGATATTTTTAATACATAGACGTCTCTCTTTGAGACCATGGGGAACGGGAAGGTCGTTTTAATCCATCTTTAATTAATACTCAGTGAGGACGGCGATGAGTGGGAAGAGCTTATAGATACTGTACGTAATCGAGATGACTTCGGCTACACTTCAACATATCTACAATGGCCTTGCTACGTTAAAGCTGTCCTCCAAGGTGATGGTACGCAAAATATTTGGATCATGCAATTTCAAGGAATACGAAACAAATGCAACTTCCCCAATTGGCTCAACACTGCAGGCACAAGGCAATGGGTTTCGGTGTCACTTGCCAGCTGTGAACTGCAGAAACAGAAGACGGAGGGTCCTCGGAAATAGGCTGATTACCGAGCACTGAAGGACTCAGGACAAATTAAAAATTGAACGAGTGTCAATAAAAAGATATGCATTTCTCACCAGTACTGTAACTGTCCATCCGTCCACCACATTGCATCCTGTGTATGATCCCAGGCGCAAACAAGCGTAAAACACTATTTGACCTCGGGGATGGGCTATTGAATCATCCACCATTTTCGTGGTGAGACAAAACATCAGGCGGATTATGAGAATTTATCGGACTTGCCATAAATACACATAAAGCCGCTTTTCAAAGTTCCATGGCCGGGTAAGTCAAGCCCCCAGTACAACCCCCCCCCGCAGTTTCCAGCACAAATTTACATGCACCACAGCATTGACCGAACGATTGGTTTAGCGTAAGTAATTCATATGTTATTACTGAATACTCGTGTTGGTGGCTGTCTCCTTGACTTTGGCTTTATTGCCTTACCAACTGCCTTTGCCCGTATAAGGTATAATACCCAATATATTATGGTACCCAGCCATGCCTTTCCTAAAAACGTTTTGTCAAAAAAAAAAAAAAAAAAGGAAAAGGGTCAATAGGGTTGGTACGTCGCCGCCATATGGAATCGTTTATCCTTGCCAATTGCAAAAACGCTTGTCCAATTAGGGATAACTATTTGTTTTATGTGCTGGCAAATTATGCAGTGTAAGTCAATCACCCTCAATGGGCCACTTTCACTGTACATCTAAACGCGTCAACAGAATGTCTGCAGCGCCACCTGTAAGCACGTAAACGCAATCTGTCAACAGACAGACGTAAACAAAAAACGCTACAGTTTGAAAAGTAAATCCAGTCTTTCTAAAAATTGGTATCGATCGCAGGTGGCTCTACGCTAGGTGGGAGTAGATTTCCCGAACACAAATTTGATGGAAGGAGTCCCTTGACAATGCGTATATAATTTGGCTGTGTGTACATTTTTTATCTGGTATTTGGTTTGTACGTGCTGTACCGAATTTTGTTGATTTGAGAACGCCGCAACAATTTCATTGTACCAAGTCACGATAATTCCTTTTGTATTTTTCGTTTTTCTTTTACTTACAACCATTATGTCATTGCTCGGTATTATGAAGCCAGTCCTTTCAAGTGCATGATTATGCCTCCTGATCCGGGTTACGCAACATTTTTATGCGTAACGCATGGCTACCGATACCGGACGTTTAAATATTCATGCACGTCAGGGGGAATTAACTAGTCTGAGAACCAGACTATAATATTGGGGTTATAGCAGTCTGCGACAGGTTTGCCCACCGCACCTCCAGCAGGTCTGATGAATTATGACTCTCAAGGCTTATACCCATCTTGGAACTATAGATAAAAAGTCACATATGCACAGTTTGACAGACGGAAAATTCACTGGTTGATGTCATTATGAAAAAAGGGCACAAAGGGGAGAAATCCGGCGGAACTTCGTCGTCTTTGATGCACAACTCAATTCGTTTTCCCGTTGGGGGACGGCAAAAATGTACACGACATGCCAAATATTGAACTGAATAAGTCTTAACAGAAATGCAATCTAATCACAAAATGGACAATTTCCATGTATTCTTTGGAAAACAATTTTGGCTACTGTAAACAGTTTTATCAAGAATTTAGTGGTTTTACCCTGATTTCACATTTTCTGTATTACTCAGTTTTTATTTTGTTCCGAAAACACCATACATGGCGACTTTTGCAACATAAGAGAGCGCGCACGAATGTCTGGTTCCCATACCAATCGTACTCACTCCTTTCATAAATTTCTACCAGTCACGCGACCAGACTAGAAATCCGAGGAACAAGAGCGATGTTGTTTACGAGCCGTATATCGATTGGAAAAAAAAATGGAGTGAGTTTGAAGGAGGAAAAGGCCTGGAGCAAAAAAAAAAAAAAAGAAGGAAAAAAATTGACTGCCAACTCCAACGGGCGCACCGCGCATTGAGTGTATACATATTCCGTCGGCCAAAGTTGCCGTCACAGGAAACTTCTGCTTGACCTTTGAAGCGTTGTTCACGTGCGATGAACCATTGCGACCGTCACGCGTCGCTGTGCTCGTAATTTTGCCTTAGAAATTTTTATTTTTCATATTTTTCGTGGAAAAAAACCGTTCAGTGGATATGAATGGATGGGAAGGGCAGCATACAAGTATGTTATGATATCTGGTATAGGCCCTACCATAAAAATTCAAGCCCCATTTCTGTCTTTAGGCGCTGCTTCCAACAACTGCACAATTATTACCTGGAAATGTATGCCATTTTTAATATTTTTTATTTACACATTGTGCGCGCAGCACAATTTAGCATATGGAAGACAGCAAAACGGAAGTTGTCTGTGCCGATCACTTCGGCATTTTCGGTTGACTCAAGATCGAGTGCGCCCGCTGGAATTGGCAGTCCATTGTTTGTTTTCCCCAATGTCTATGGAAAATCCAAATTAGTTTTCCTGACATAAAAAAAATGGAAAAGCCTGTTCGTGTTTTGGAGAAGGTTAGTGGTAGAATGTTTCCGACTTGTGATAGTAAGGAGCGCTGAGTAGCCGACACATAATTTCTCATAGGCCTAATATACATGTAAGTTGATGTGTAACGCGTCTCATAATATATTTAAACTTGCCCGTCCTAATATTGCCAACATATATGTCTTCTTTACACATACTGCCCAGAATTTATGTAATTAGAATTTCCGTTGTGTGTGTGTCAAATTTCTGCCTAGATGAATTACCCAGTGGAAAGTTACTTGGAGATGTTCGATTCCCCACATCTTCTTTTATGTCTAGTTCTATCTCATCTGCGATGCGCTCATGTCTTGCTTCCACTTCGTGTGTGGCAAGAAAGAATGGACAATCTGGAAAGGAAAAAAAAAAGGAGGAGATCCATTGGCGTGTACTAAGTCAAGTGATGGAGGTACCTGTCTGTGTACCAGTAATGTTTAATTGAATCCTTCATTCATAGTTTGATTTATCCGTAAACTATTAACCCTGTTGGAGGAGAGCTAAGTTGAATGATCCATAAAACAAACCCATTGGAAGGAATGTTGTAACCCACCGTACTTCAGTCGTCTGGGAGTTAACATATCTGAGAAATTTTTTTCAAAATTTCCTCATAAGCTAGGAATGTTCTCTCAGTCTCTGATTCATGACTTCCCGCATTACTGCCCGAGTGACCATTCATCAATATTATTTTTTTTTAAAAGTGGCATCATGATGCAACATTTGTCCAACCTGTACAGACCTTAATATATTTGGGGAGATTTACTACCATCATAAAATTTCAACTTAAAAAGTATATGGTTTATAATAAAAAAGGAAAAAAACGTGTCGAATCCATGGGTTTATTCCATGATTTTAGTGTTTGGAAAGCCCTACTAAAACAAGTATTTATGATTCCTTGAATTCTTGGAAAAATCCGCACTGGAAAATAAATTCTTATGTACTTTTACACATTCTTTATGTGGTGGTTGTAGGACAGCTGAGAAGAGCCGCTGAACTGAAGGCCCATGAAGACATATACTTTGACGGATACGTAATTAAACACAGACTGTGTGGGGATTGAAGTGAAGTATCCAAGACATTGTTTCATGATGTATGCAAGATGTACCACTTGCCACGGTGAGTTTTGTTGTAGTTAAACTTTTATAGCATGAAACAGGCTGAACATGTTTCTTTACGATTCACACTTTCATTACTATTATGTATACTAAAGTCACGCACGATTTATACAGGCCTCTTAAGGGTGGAAAACAGATTGCGCTTTCCCAGACCAAAGTTTTATTTCTCCATATCTGTTGACAGAGGGTTATTATTATTTTTTCTGTTTCCTTAACAGTTCGTCATCTGATACCTTAGGGGATGCCTTCCAGGAACCCTTTAGGATCTTCTGTATCACAGTTACTGAGCCATGTCAATATCATTCACAGCAAGAAATCAACCACTCTGGCGTCACTGCCGGCGAGGTTTATTTTGTGGTGGCCAAGACTCCACCTTTGGTGGTAAAATGTAGAACTTGTAAAACTGTGTTTTAAACACAGTCTGGTGCCATTATATACAGCAGCAGAATGAAATTTGATTCTAAATAGGTGATGCAGACTGGTTACTGTTCTAAAGTCTTTGAAATTTGGTCCATCATTAAACATACCTTTAATTAACAGCACCCTTCCTAACAGTGTTCTAACATGCCAAGTTGCAATTTACTTTCTTTTATGCTCATGTATGCCCAGTTTGTGCATTCAGCTTCACTTTTGAATAAAAATTCAGACCTTGTAAAACAATCTTAATGCAGTTTAATGTTATAAGGTTGCTCGA